GTGTAATCTATCAGAATCAGAAGATGTATGTGGATGCTCTCGTCTTCTATGAGAAATCATTGGATATCAAAAAGAAACATATACCAGCTGATCATTCAAACATAGCCAAGTCATATCATAATATGGGATGTATATATGATGCCCTCGGACGATATGACCTTGCGATGGAGCATTATACTCGAGCACTCAAGATTCAGGAGAAATCCCTACCACATGAACATCCAGATATCGCCAAGAGCTACCGCAGCATCGGTGTGATACATGAGAAGAAGGGTGAATGGCGAGAAGCACTGGCTAGCTATGAAAAGGCTGCCGAAATCTATCGTAGTTCGTTATCACCTCAACATCCATATGTGATCGAAGTCAACGAAGACATTCGACGTCTGTCATCACGACAAAGCTTATTCAGTAGCGTTTTGGATTTTCTTCGTGGAGTACTTGCAATATAATCCCCTATATGAGATCGTTTGTCGACTTAAAATATAATGTTAATACAAATAAAAACAACAACTTGCTACGCTTCACATCGATTTTTTTATTCGTTCTAGTCGTAGCTATTGAAAATTTGCTATGACGACCAAAGTATTCAAATTAGTCTTTAGTTCGAATAATTTGTTGTAGGAACAATGCCGATTCCGATATTATTTAGAAATAGATTATACTAGTGTATTCATTTGATGCGAAATTCTTTCCTAAGCTCTAAAGATCCAAGTTGAATATTTCTGTTCAAAACTAGTGTATATAGATTTCACTTTGTTTACACAAAAAAAAGAGAAAGAAAAGCAAGCGCATGCGAGCAAAAACTGTCATATTAAAAGAAGTTCTCATTGATAGAGACCCTAGAAAAAAAGGAACAGAATAGAGTTGTTAATCATTACATTCAAATATGATTACTTCGAGATTATTATTCGATGTTCTCACTGAAGAGTGTTTCGACGATGTTAGACTTTGATTTAAATCTCGTGTAGCTAAGAATTTTTCTAACTGTTCAAGATAAATTTTCACCACACGTTTCATTGCATTCAAACGATCTAAGATGAACTTCGAATCATTTGTCAAACGTATTTGGTCGTTCGTGGTAGCCGATAAAGGACGTTCATTGAGAGTAATCAAACGATCATGTAAGATCTCTAAATCATCATGAATACGAATAAAACGATGAAGTTTTGTTCGATTAACATTCTGATTGATTTCACTATCTTCAACTGGTTCTAATGAATGTATTAATAATTCAAGATGATCTAATTGGCAATTGATATCGATCAAACCACGATTTGCTTCTGGACTTATCTATTGAATGAAAGAATTTGTTTCCTTCAGTCGTGCAGAACTACTGATATGCGTACTTTGATATCACGAGATTTCGATGACGATAGATTGTGAAACCTATCTCGAAGTGCTTGAAGACGATGATCAACAAGAACCCATTCATTAGAATGGTCATTGAACTGACTGGCTTGGTCTGTTGTTGATTGTAAAAGCGTTTGAAGTTCATCTGAAATGCTTACTATAGAATGGCTCCTTTTCTTTGAGAAAATTCCTTACTGAATTGTTGCTGGGCATCTGGTCTCAGAGAAGTTGTTCGAGATGCTAAACCAAAATATATGACTTTCACAAGTGTTACCATTCTGAAATGTAGAGTTACCTGAATAACCAAGATTCGAAAATTGTTGAGTAGCATGTTCAAGATTATCCAATTGTCGTTTGAAATCTCTCCATTGCAGACAGTGGCGACTCAATTCTTCATCCTTATTACTAGCTAGCAGTTGCAAACGCGGCCATTTAGCGAATATATCTACCACAACGAAAGTAAAGTAAACGCAACTAATGAATCGATGTTCTACCGAGTACTGCTGGATCGTTGCTCAGATCTTGTATCAAATAAGCACCTAGTTCCTGACGTATCTGAGACAGTATTTGATCCAGTGCTTCAATCTTTCGATGGGTCGAGATCAACAATCGAGTCTGAATAACAAATTCTATCTTTATTTATTCGAATAGAAGCGCTCTTACGTAGGAGAAATCTTCCGGTAAATGATCAAGTTGCATACCACTTGGTGTGGGAGCATAGAGATTTTCTTCTTTACTACGGAAGTCACTATTAATTTGCAGTAGAATATCTTCGAAGTCAGCAAGTAATTCATCTGCACGTTGAAGTCGATCACCGAATTCTAATGGATCGTAAGGTCGGAGAAAACGATCTCGAGGACGAATCGGACGTACGGGAGATCGAGGTCCTAGAAAGAGAATCTCATGTTTCCAGGGAGAAAATTGGCAAGTTTATCCTACGTAATGGGGTTGGTGATGCGCGTGATGTGCTCATCAAATCCAAATGACGCTAAAAATAGAAGTAGATGCTGTTATGGTACACATAAAGAATCGATTTGAATTGTTACGTCATTTGCGTTAATCAGTTTCTGTTTGATTGTTTTAATACGTTTAATTAAATCCGTCAGTTGTTGACAAAATTTCGATAGTTGATTAACATCAATCGTTAAACCACGAGCATCAACAGTTTTACTAAGTAAATGATTAGCACATGTTTGAACATATTCAATTTTCGATAGTTTTTCTAGAATTTCACGTTCAATATCCTGAAAACAATTGAAACATTCTTCTCGTACGCTGAATACACATCACAATCTTACATCTAGTTGTTGTAGTTTGTTATTCAGTGGTGCTTCAGATAAATGTTCGAGATTGGTCAAAACCACTTCCAGATCCGCTAACCAAACTACTAGCGAATCTTGTGTTAATTGAAAGTCACCATGAATACTCAACATGTATTTCAACTGAAAAATAAAACACATTCAGCTTTGATAAAGGAAGTAATGACCTTACATTTTTCATTGATTCGTGAACTGTACTATTCAGTACTTCCCAACGGTGATTTAGATCTTTAATACAACTGATTTTGTCGCCTTTGGCATCTGCTTTTGGATGCGTATGAAGGATATCCGAATAGACTTTGGCGATCTGTTGAATATCCTTATCATCATTGTCTAATTTACGTTGTAAATTCTGAAACGAATATAAACTAATGAAAAGAAGAGTAGAAATCATTTTCACAAACTTCAAGATTTCGATATTCGTCTTGAACACCTTGTAATCCATTAGCACTTGTCCGTTTAATCTCAGCTAAGACCTCTTCGTGATCACTAACCATTCTAGTTGCACGTCTGATCGCTTCGTCCATGTCTCGCCATGGATCTTGAACGCTATCCAATCTAAACAATTCACATATATATCCTCCTCTCTTGGAGAAAAAAGAATAATATACTCAAATCGTCGCTTTGTCAATAAGTCTCGCAATGCTTTCCAACGTTGTTCGACGCTTTGTACTGTACGGGTTATTGAATCTGTATGTTGTGCATGAATATCGGGATCTTGTAATAAGTTATGGCCAAGTGTGAGAAGATTAGTTACAGCTGGACCGTTGTTTTCGATATCCAATTCGATTGACTAAAGATTCACTATCAATTGCCGATGCCTTTCGGGAAAAGAACGACTTACAGCAATGAGTTGTTGGTAAGCAGATAAATCATTCGTCAGTTGTTGTTTTTGTAGATTTCCTTCGACTAAATCTAACCACGAACGAATATTTTCTGCACCGTGCTCGAAATCATTGAACATTTTCAATGTCATTTCACTCTTCTTAATTCTACACAACAATAAAACGCATTTTCCCGTTACCAATCACAGAGCAACAATACAAACTTCTTCTCAACATATTGTTCCGTTGTGTTCATAATCTGTTCTAATTGATCGATCTTGCTTTTAAATATCTGATCCAATGATTGAGATTGTAACAATCGTGCTTGAACTAGAAGGTCATTTGTTAGTCGTCGTTTTTCGCCGAGAAGATTTCGAATATCATTTTTAAGAACGTCGAGTGTGACTTGAAGTGTTAAGCCATTCAATCGTTCATTCAATTCACTGCTACGAAAATGTTCGTACCACTGAATTAATCGTAGGGACTTCTGTTCGAAATCTTGATATTCCGAACGGCGTTTTGTTAGACTGTCGATTAATGCGATTAGGATACGTTCAGCATCACCCCATTGAATTTCCAGTAGACTAAAATAAAGTTATTACTGGAATATATGGATTCGCACAGGATCTACTTTAGTTTTTGGATCAACTGTCGAGTATCTTCGGAGTGTAATTCCGGAGAGATCTGAAAAGATAACTAGTGAAATGTGATGAGAGATTAGAAGATAAACTACTTCAGAAATGGCTTGTCGCGCACGGTATAATTCAGGCCGACGTTGTGTCAGTTCGTGATTTTTATTCTAAATAAAGTTCTAGAGTTTCTCTATTTCTGTCAAATATGAAACTTACGTGACAACGTTGAAGAAATTGTGTTAAATCATCGGTCGGCTGCTGCTGAATTGTTCGAACTGATTTAACTAAGTTCGCCAGTTCATCTAACGTTCGATCGAGTTCACTGAATCGAAGGAGTGACTAAACATACATATTCAATCATAAATCCTTAGGAAAAACCAAGTGAACTAGAGTCTATCGAAGAATGAGATAAGCAGAAAAGCAAAAAGCGAAACGGAAAGGAGTAAAATCAATAAACATGCATAAATATTGATGATCTGTCTAAAAAAATTGTACATAGTCTATGCATGCGAATGATATTCTAGCGCTATGAATTACCTTCTCCTTCTGAGGGCTATTTCGGGGCTATAAGAAGAGAAGATTCGCTCTTCTCGGGGAAGGAGCTTCGAATCTTACTTGAACTAAAGTTTCACATTTCTGTTTGATATTCATCTGAATTTCATGAAGAGATTTTTGCAAATCATTCCATTCTTTTTCCAGAATAGCTTGAGTTTTAACATCGGAATGTTTGATCAGACGTCGATTGGCTTCATAGATCTTGTCCAGCAACGTTTTCAATTCATCATTGTCAATCGTTGTTACATATGAACCTTGTTTTATCTGGGCTATTTTACTGATGTTTGCAGTCTGTAACTCTTGCTGTTGTTTTTCACATTTATTTCTCAATAAACGGTAGTAATCTACGCGGAGAAGGCCTGTTGATGAATTCCTGACAATTAGTCAAAGTCTTACTTTCTAAATGTGTTTGATAAGCTAACCAAAGTCTGATCAATTCTTTGATCTCTTCATGCTTTTTCGTAACAGCTCTCATGACATTTTGCCAACGTTGTTCGAGTTTGATGAAATTACTTGGGTTTTCTACCAACTGTTTGCCTTCATTGATCAATTGAATCAGTTCTTGCTGTCGTTGACTGAAGTCAGTTGCGATATTCGAAAGGTTCTTGTCGATTTCGATGAGACCATGGTAATTCGTAGGAAGATTTTCTTGAACCACGGTTAGTTTCTTTTCAATTGCTTGGATATATTCATGCCATTTTTGGCAACGTTTGTCAAAGTTTAATCTGCCGTATTCATTGGCTTCGATTTGTCGAATACGATTTTTTACCGATTCCACGCATTGAGAATATTCGATCATCAATTCATGCAATTGTCTGGCACGTTTGATGTAAAGAATAAATTCATTGGAGTTCAAACGTTCGATGAGATCGTGTTTGGATTGTAGGAGCTGGTCAAGTTCGCGGAGTTGCTTCAGATTATGAAGATCGTTTTCTCCGTTTAGTTGTTGAGATTTGAGGACAGCTTGTGTTTGATTGATGGCATGAGTGAGTTCGTTTAAGTAATCTAAATAGATCTTTTCACGGTGTTTGAGTTCGTTACAATCGGTGAGAAGTTTATTTTGAAAATTCTGCAATTCGGAGTATTGATTGTGAATAACTGCGTATTGTGTATCGATTTTCTTTGCGGCAATCGGACATAGATGACTACTGAGTTTCTTTGCACGTTCGTGAAGTTTGAGTACTTCAGTATCGAGTTGTTGCAGACTTTGTTGAAAATCCTTTGATCGCAAAACAACTGTAAAGACTTGATCGTTTCCAAGAAGAAAACTTACTCGAGCTTTGTCAAGAAGTGAATCAATATCCGAAGTGAATTTCTCCTTTTGAATTGTATACCATCGTGCTTCGAGTTCACCGAGTCGATCAAGTAAATGCAAATACGAAGTGTTAAACTGCCTCCAGTTATCCACAACTTCTCGTGACGGTTTGAGAATATCCTGTAAATGCTGTTTTACACTGGTCCATTGCTGTTGAATACGATGAGTTAACTCGTTGATTCGTGTTGATGTTTGTTTATCACACTGATCGGATAATTGATGCGTGTGGGTTTTTATTTGATCGAAGTCGTGTCGATGAGCGTCCATCGCTTGTAGATAATCCTAGATGAGGAATCAATGAGCAATGTGATGCAGTGAGAATGATGGCTCCTACTTGTGCTTTTCGAGTGCTCATTTCATAAGTTTCAACATTCATTGCACTGGTTTCTATTCGATCGATTTCTGCTTCGGCTTCTTGAAGAATCTTTTCCATTTTGAGTAGAACCCGATTGTATTCCTGCCAATCGTTGAGAATCGATTTTGATTTGAGTTTCAGTTGTTCAATCGACGGAGAGAGATTGTCAAGTGTATAACGAACACTTTGAATGGTACCGTCTTGATCTATGATGCGAAATGTGGATGAAGACGATGCCATTCGACTGCTGGATGTTTTCAATGAAGAAAGGATTTGCTGTTTACTTATCAATTGATTTTCCATTTCCTAGAGAACATCGTAGAATCAGAAGAATGACAATCAAAACGAATGAATTACATTGCATTTTTTAATGTTATGTTTCACTCCTGCTTCCAATGTTCTCGTACGCATAAATTCCAAATCGGATGTTTGTTCCTGGACCCAATCGGACAATGTACGAATAGTATGATCAAAATCATTGAATTGATCGTTGAGTTGTTCTAATGTGTCAATTCGAGCCGATATCAATGACTTAATCTTTGTCCAGTCGATGTTAATTTGTTTGATATTTTCCATATAATCAATTGTTGTCTCATCGACATTCGCTTCTTGTTGAAATGATTCGTTCAGATAATCGATCGTTCGTTGATGATTCAACACATCCACACGCATGTCCTATGCAAAAAGTCTTATTTAATCAATTCGTACACGCATATCTAATTACTCGATAGCGTTTGAGTAGTTTTTGTAATGTTTCTTTGTTGTTGATTGGCGCACCATGATCATCATCCAACAAACGTTTGATCGTATCAATAAAAATCACCATTTCCTTACGAGCTTGTCGAGTTGGCAAGCTATTGATAATATTCTGATGGAGAATGTTCTCATGTCGTAAAATATCCGTCTAAACGAGAGTTTCATTAATCTATATCATACAAAAACCAGCTTCGTCATCGTACCTTGATTGCGGTCCATTTTTGGTGCAGACATTCGAGATGACTTTCAGTGGATTTGAGATCGTAGAGATTGTAGGTAGATAATCGTTTGACTAAGGATAATGTATGAGAATAAACATCAGCAACATTATCAAGACGTTTTTCCACGTCCTAGACAACCGAAAAAGTAGAGATTAACGAAAGAAGTATGTTTACCATCATTCGTTCTAATTGTATACGAAGTTCGCTGAGATTTCCATCATAGTGTGCAGTTGATTCACTAGCACATTGTCCCAATGTGTCTTCAAGAATGGCTAGATTTCGTTTGATATCAGTTGAAAATACTGTTCCGGTTTTATGACTAAAATTGGACAAAGAACTTTCACAATCTATCGAAGAACGCCTCGCTTACTTTTCGTATTTTTCTTGAATATCATTGGCAATTCGACTAAAGTTTTGAGTGACATTTTGAATCTCGGTTTGCAATGAAAGAATATTCAATTCACTACAAAGCATCTGAATTTCATCGTTCAGATGTAAAACTTCGGGTTCAAGTATCAGAATTCTCTGATTCAACTCCTAATTACAAACAATAACCTTTCTGCATTTCGTACTCAGAAGCTTTTCTTACTTTGTACAGAGCAAAAGTCGATTGAATTTGTTGAAATGGAAATAATCGTTTATTTAATGGGATTTGTTTCTCAATCTGATCCAATTGGTAACAGATGTCGTTGAGTCGTATTTGATATTCTTTCCAGATTCGTAATAGATATTCTCCATGAATATTTCGTTGAGTAATTTTATCTTGTAGATCATTCGAACGTTTTTCCAAGTCAAAATGTTGCTTTGAATAACGCGCACGTGTTTCGCGGTCAAGTTTATCGTAGAAAATATTTAGTTGTCGACGTTTTTCATCCATTTGTTGACTTAAACTCTTTTGTTCATTCAGTTGACGAGCATAGTCATCATTTGTACATGTCAACGACACCGGACGACTCAAACGTTCCATGGTGGTATTATAAACACCTTCGTACAGTTTACATTCGTTCAGATAAATATCACGACAATGTTCGGCATCAGTCAAAGCTTGAAGGCGATGATCGAACTACATAAAAAAGAAAAGTTTTAAGGAAGATTCAAGCAAACTTTTTCTAAACCTGTTGTTTGAGAGAAGAGATCGTTGATTGTATGAGTTGAATTTCGGCTGGTAATGGAATGGGATTACCATCTTCGAAACACATGGTCTGACCTTGTTTTTTCAGATTGATCAGTTCTTGTTGGTAATGATCAAGTTCTTGATTTTGACTCTAGAAGAACACAGAACAAATTCGAAGAAGTCGATTTATCGAAAGGTAATCTACGCGTATAAAGTGTAATTGTTCTTCAATCGAATTTTGTGGATTCAATTTTCGCTGTTTTAACGTATTCAGTTTCTCTTCTAATAAATTGATTTCATCCATATATAATTGCCATTCTTGTTTACGCTGACGTTTGCGTCGTTCGCGTTCTTCGTTTTCACATTCGAGTTTTATCATTTGTTCTTCCAAAGTTTTCAGTGAATCTTCCACAGACTAAAAATTCGACATTCCAAGATTAGCGGTAGGAAGCGCACTGGAACTTACTCGACCAGGTGCTAGTGTATCATGCTCTACGAGTGATGAAAGCTTATTTAGTGAGTCTTGATAAAGACGTTGTTTACGCTGATGTTCTTCAACATCCTATTTGGAAAATGGCGATTTACATGCATTTGTGGGAGAGTGAATCGATCGGAAGTGTATTGCTGGATGAAGATTTGACTTACTCGAATTTTCTTTTTGATCAGCGACGATCGGTTCTCAAGTTCTTTTATCAGTTCGATTAAACGTTCTTTCAAATGGTCGATCTCTTGGCGTAGTTTTTGTAAACAATCATTTGGTAATTTTGAACTAAAAATAAAGAGCGAATATTTTCAATAGAAAACCACACGTTTTCATCTAACTTGTTAATATTCCGTGAGAGTGTGTCGATCTCTTTCAATTTCTCTTGTATCGCCTGTTGTTTTTGATTTAGCTGTGCATTCTCTTGTTGAAGTGTATCTAAATCCTGTTTACTACTTAAAGATTCATGACGTTGAGTTTGTTTAATCCATTCAAAGATTGATTCGATTCGATCACGAAATTCTTTCTGTTGTCGATTTTGTTGCTCATATTCCTTCGAAGTCGAAATAGAAGACATTCAGCGATTTATTGTCAACATTTTACTTTACCTCTTGCTTTCGTGCGACGTTCGTCTTCATTCGATCAATGGTTTCGATCAAATTCTGTATAGCTACCGCAACAATTTGCTCAATTTGGGGATAATCATGTGTAAGATTCATGAGAATTTGTTTTCGTTTATCTAATTCCATTTGTATGTCTTGTAGACGTTGTAGTTTCTCATCGATTGTCAATGGCTGTTCCAGAATAGATTCGATTGTTCGATGAATATTCGTTATCCACTGTTCATAGAAGATGTATTGTTTATTGAATTCATTCAATTGATAATGAATCTTTTGGCTCAGTTCTAGACGTTGTTCGAGGTTTTCATGATGAGTGGATAAATCTTTTAATAGGCGATCGAGATCAGTTAACTACAAAGAAACTTGTTGAATGTTTTATCTTTGAAACAATCTATATCGGATACCTTTTGCGTTGCTTCAACAGATTTACTCGTTTGTAGAAGTCGATTAAGACGATTTCGTAATCGTTGTATTTGATCGACAGCTGATTGATATTCCATGAGAATTGTCTTGGCTTTCGGAATGAATTGATTGAATATTTCAATGTTTTTCGAATTGCCTAATTCATGAATGACATCTTTCGTTTGTTTGATCCAACGTTCACACATCGCATTTGTTTCGGCATATTGTTGATTAATAAAGTTCATTTCATTCATATCTTCCTGTTTACTGAGTAAGTCTTGTTCAAGTTCGGTCCATCGACGTGCAATTTCACTGACACGACGACGAACACGTTCGCGTTCGTCAGAATCAGTCAATTGTGGAATTAATGTTGTGGATAACAACTGAACACGATCGATCAAGGTACGTTGACTATGCATTTCACTAGTTAAATCCTAAACACCAGAAGAAAATCGACATTTCTTCACGTTGAAGGTATGTTACTTTTAATAAGTTAGCATTGAGTTTTGTATTTGCTTGACGAGTCTTTGTGTCGATATTTTTGCTGATGGTATCCATCGTTTTTTCATAATCATTTCGTATATTGTTAAAGTCATGTAATTCAGCAGATTTGTCATTCATACGAACTTTCATATCCTCCATATCTTCGTAAACTCGACCGATCATTTTGTCTAAGTCATCAGAAAGATTTCCGAATTCGTTTTTATAATCGACGATGCCTTGCTCGAACAGAGCGAAATGATGAACCAACTCTTCATCGATTTTCTAAATCAAATCAAATAAGAATCTTCCGAGAACAGCAAGAACGGTGAATGTACTTTTAGCTTTTGATCACCTTCATTGGTCAAAGTTGGATGAATTTCAATCAATTGAACTTTAATACGTTGAATGATTGTCGATATCGATCGAGCGTTTTGTCTCAGTTTTTCTTGTTCTTCAACTTGTTGATCGAGATGTTCGACTGTTTTTGTTGTCTCAATTTTCAAACTTTAAACCAATCACTGTACATGACCAATCTTTAGAGAACAATGAACTTACTTTTGGTAATCTTGTAAAGCATCTTGATGTTTCTTTTCTAAACTTCGAACGATCTGCTGATCGTATCTCTTTTCGAACAGTGCAGTGATCATATCGTCCACTTCGGATAACAGCGAACTTTCTAAGTCAATATCTTTCATAAAACTTTTGATTTCCACGGATCGTCGAGTTAAATCCACGCTTCCGTAGCCACTATCGAAACTTTGGTGCAATTCTTGTCGTTTACGATTAGTAAATGATTTGATTTTACTCAAAGTACGTTCAATACGTTCGCGAAGTGATTCATTCTCCTGAACAGAAACAAATTTTGTTTTCGATGAAAACTCTCCTAGATTTCAATTACTTCTTGAGCCTTTTTGCCTCGATCGAGGCTTTCGCGGATTGTTTCTACTGAAGTTGCTAATTCTTTCAATTCGCGATCGATGTCTGTTGAACTGTTCACATCCAGTGACTTTTTCAAATCGCGACCAAGGTAATGTAGAGCAGAAAAGGCCGAATCCATTTCTGTGATCAAATTTTCTGCGGACTAGAAATTCAAAAATTCATCGAAGATCAAGTTTCGTTCCTATTCCTAGTCTTACATCAGGTGATTTCTCAATCATTTGTAAAATACGATCAGCATCGGAGTGTAAACTGGCAACACTCGAATTGAATCGATTGGATTTTTGACGAATTTCATCGAGTTCCTTTCGACGTTGATGAATACGAGATTCTAAAAGCAAGATGACAACTCTATTTATTCAAAAATCATCTCCTTCTTACCGAGATCTTCGATAGTTTGATGAAAGCTTCTCAATTGACTATCACATAAATCTTTCGCATTGTTTCGTAAATGTAATCGAAATGCTTCGGTTAACTTATGAGCATCGGCTAACCGATAGTTCTGCTCCGCACATATCTCTTCCAGATACTACAAAATACCAATAGCTGATCGAAGAGATAATCAAAATGTACAGACGTTAAGTTGTTTTTCATGTTCATCGAGTCGATGACGATCGTATCCATCGAAGAACGATGCTAATTTAAGGTCGCTATCGCTACAAAAAACGAATTCAAGAAGTTTCACAAACCATCGTCAAAATTCTCTCGTACCCAAGTACTGCTTTCGCTTCCGTAGTTAGTTTTAGGTAGTGACTCATATGTCGGTGAACATCATCGACAACATTTGTTTGTTTATTGAGCAAATTCTAGAATTAAAAAGTGAAAAGATCTTTGCGTAATCGGAAAGTGCTTACTTTCACTTGATGTTTCAACTCTTCGACTGTTTCTAGTCGTTCTCGAATTTCTCCATCGCCTGCATTGATAAGATTAGGTTCTTCATCTAGAGTTTGTTCAATTCGTGCCATACGTTGATCAATTGATGGTCCAATTTGCTGCAAAAACCAAAACAAATGCTTTCATCGTTCCAGTGACTAAATTTACTTTGAGCGATTGTTGAAAATCGGCAACATTGTTCAACGAAAGATTCAATTCTAGCGGTTGCTGTAAATCGTGAAAAATTCGTCGAAGCCAATCGATCGTTGATAACAAATCTTCATTCAATTTATGCTGAGTTTTCATCAGATGTTCGTATTCGCCTCGAACTTGTTGGCAACTAGTGAATAAATCTTGTAGACGCTCTCGACGACGTTCGTTCGTACGTTTGATGTGTTCACATTGCGAATGAGGAAGATCATTCGCTAGACGATCACTCATATGCATCAGTCTGTTCAAATCTTGTTCAGCTTGTTGTAGCCGATCCAAAACCGACTAAAATGATGAAATGTACAATGAACGTTTAGAGAACAGAGCGAAATTCAACCTGATAAATGATTCCTTTGTCTTGTTGATGTTGAGAAGATTTTAGTTGATCAGTACACATCTGTAAAGATGCGTCTAACTCGTTTTCCAAAAGATGGAATTCATTTTCTGTTTGAATAAGCCGTTCAATACGTTCAATCTCATTATGGATCGATTCATCGAAGTTTTTCAGATTTATATTCAATTCATTGCCAAGACGAAAATCGATTCGATGGCCCTTACTCGTTAGTAAACGTTGAATACGTGTTAATTCCTTAAAGCTATTGTTTGTCTCATCGAAATGTCTCAATAATTGTTTGTAATTTTCAGCACGTCGGTCACTGGGAGGACAGTTACCATCAAGAGGTGATTGGTGTTTGAGACGATTGAACTCCGTCTGTAATTGTTGATAAAGTTCTTGTACATGTTCAAGTTGCTGGCTGAATTCATTTCGTTCGTCTAATAAGTGGAGGAATCAAGAAAATAATGTAACTTTTTTGCTACTTACGACTCGCTTCGTCGAGAAGAGCAAGACGTTGGGTTAAGTTATCCAATAAACGATTGTATTTATCCTTCAGAACCGTATATTTTTCATCGAGGGTGATAGAATCGGTTTCATTCAATGTGGACGCAACAGTTGTATGAAGACGCGCTAGATCTTCGAATTCATGCCGGCGATCTCGTGTTAATTGTAACAATGACTAAATAAGACAGTCAACTTCGCTTCATTACCTCGATTGAACTCACCTGAACAGTTTTCGATTTGTCTTTCAATGCACCAATCGATTGTTGTAAATCATTCGAAAACGGTTCTTTTACTTGTTGTTCAGTACTCTTAATCCAGTCAGCTAATTTATTGGTCAAACGATCATAGTCACGACGCTGTTCACTGGTTGCATGTAATTGTCGATTACGTTCATTCAATGCTTCTTCCAAATCTCTCAGTTGATGAACTAGTTCTAAATTTGTCAATGATATGAACACAAGGAGAAGTATTTCGACGAAGACAAACCATCCGTGTGTTGATCACAATCGTGTTCATTTTCATGAGCGTAGCCTTGTTTGATTGCATCGTTCAATCGAGTGATTTGATCGAGAGTGGTTCGTTGTTGTTTGATTTCGTTCAATGCATCCTATGACAAGAAAATCATTCAGGTTTATAGGAAGGAATTCTATTTTCGTACATTGTATCGATTCTGTAAACGTTCAATTTCGTTTGGTTTCAATGGAACAGTTGTGTCTGAGGTAATCAAACGTTGTTTATCGTCGTACCAAACAATAAGACGATTAGAAATCTGATCCAATTCTTGACGCTGTTGAATTAATGTAGCTAAACGATCTTTTCGTTTATCAATCTGTTCTTGTAATTGAACCAAATCAATCTATGAACATACAAACATGATTTCAGTGGTTCGTAATCGAACAAACGACGAAGGGTTGTACTTCAATTTTACGCAAGACTGATTCTGCTTGTTGCCGTTCTTGCTGCGACAAATCCGATGAAATTGTTTTGTACTTATTACGTAAAGCGGTGAGATGTACATCTTCACCTTGAACTTCCCGTTGTAGAGTCTAAATTGAGGAAATTTCACAGATGAAAACATCTTCAATCTTATTTCGAGCACGTAATCGCATGTATTCAAACGATTACTCTTCATTCATCGATTAGATATATGCGTATAAGCCTTGTGATTAGTGATTATGTGCATGAATATTTCTGTATCATTTCAAAAGCAAGCATAAGCCATCTAAGATCTTATATTGTATTAGTTGCTAAAATAGAAAAATACATGATGGAAAAAAAAACTTCGTTTGACTCTAAAATACATCATTCCAAAAGCTTACGCTGTGTACAATACCATTGAAATATGTAGCAGTAACATTGCCTATCGTGATCATACCCCGATTTCTATTAGTAATATGAAGCAAAGTTAAAAGGAGAAGAAGAGGAGCGCATAGCAAGAAAATGAGCATAGAAAGCAGTTCTGTAAGCGTAGGTGATCGTAATAGTGGAAAATACCTTAATGACAACCATTAGATCCTCGATGTCACGTATGGAATACCCAGCAAGATGTGCTGAACGATGATTGTTGCTGATCGCATTAATGCGCTGAAGTAAATTCGTATGAGTTTGATTGAAATCTGCAACTAATCGATCTAACTCTTGGGCTTGTATTCGACGTTGAGTGAGCTGCAAACAAAAGAGTCATTCATTTCCGTTCGAATGATTCGTCGATCGTACTTTATTCTCAATTGTGTCAACTAGATTTTGGATCGCTCGACATTCGACGACGAAAAAGATATTTCGATTGGTGGAAGAATCTGTAATTGTTGCATTACTTTCTTCCATTAAACGATCAAGCGCCGTGCTATCTGCTTGAATCGTACGTAGATCATCTGCGTAACGTTCAAGTTGGGCTTTAATCGCATCGATGTTTTCCACTTTCATCTGAGGATTCTGTTGAAGTTCGTCATTGATCTGTTGTAACTTGTGACGAATATCTAACGAGTATTTCATATGTTCGTCATATTGTTTCAAAAGGTCGAGTCGTTTTTGTAGGACAATTTCATATCTGAAAGATTTTCATGGGATAAAACAAAGTTTTTCGTCTTCAGAGCATTTCTTACGTGTTCAATCGTTGTCGATTCGTATCGAATGCGTTTTTAATTGTTTGTAAATCAACTTTTGCCAAGCCGGCGTGTTCCAAATCAGTTAATTCTTCACTGATGGTTGCCACTAGTGGCTGCAGTGATTGTAATTGTTTAAGAAGTTGTTGTAAACGCTGATAGGTTTGGTTCCATGTTGCTGTTTGAATTTGAGCATTATTATCGATTTGTTCGGTGATGTCACGAACATTTCGTTCGAACACTTCGAAACGATTTAGAAAAGATTTACGAGATTCGTACAAACGTTCAGTTTCACGAAGCTAAATACAAATTCGACGCAGGTTTTTTTCGGCTAGTACTGAGAACTGCTTACTTTATCAGTGATCAATCGAGTGAGTTGATGCCATCTTGTTTCAATGGACATTTGCTCCTCGTGAAGAATGCGTTGACCTTCAGGAGAAGTGAACTGTCGCAAATCATTCATTTGTTTATGAAGACGATTATAACTCGATGTATGATGATGGATATTTTCATCTAATGCCTGAAATTCAAAGGTTATTCGTTATCAAATTTACTTTGCTGTACTCATTACTCGAAGTTCGTTGAGTAAAATGTTGATTTTATTCAAATCGAATAACTTGTTCACATCAGTAGAGATAATCGAGTTGACACGTTGTTCAAGTTCGGCGAGTATTTGATCACGAAAAGAATTCAGTTCTGATTCGAACAACAGCCATGCGGAATATTGTTTATCGTATCTTGGAGTCAGCTCATCCGAACGTCGAACAATTTCATTCCAACGATTGGATAACGACTTAATAAAAGACTTTAATTCATACTGATCGGTAATAGTATGTTCTTCATTGATTAAATTGTTATGAATGAGTAGCATTCGACGACGTTCTTCAAGTAATTCCTGAAGACGAACGAAAACGGTTAGAAAATGCATTAAAAAAAAACTTTTTTTTTTACTTTATGTTTATCATGCAATTGCTTCGCTTCGGTGAGATTTAGAGCACCGGATTTATCGAGGCGCTTTGTAAGATAGTCTTCCGCTTGTTCAATCCACGGCTCTAATTGTTGTATGTAACGCTCAGATGCTTGAACGTGCGATCGACATTCGGCTAGTTGTTCTTCTTCACGATTGACCTTTTCTGATGTGGACTCAGCTAATGTGCGCAATCGCGTCAAGCGATTCAGAGCTTGTGGCAAATCCTTCGGGCGAGAATGTAGGGATTGAAGATTTGAACCTTCAGAATGTAATGCTGATAGTGAGTGTAGATGTTCGCCAAGTTCAGAACGAATACGCTAGAAAATAAGGAGAGAATGGTATGGAAGGAATCGGCTTGATGGTTACTTCGAGAATTTGTTGTTTTTCTTCCAATGGTCGTTCACCAAACATGCGCGCATCGAACATTGAGCCGATTTCTCGAAAGAGTGTTTCTAAACGTTTCAATTCCTCATTGAAATGCATCCATTTGTCATTGTCTTGTGTTAAATCTCGTAGTAATTCATTTACGATTCGTGCTTTCTCGACTAGTTCTTCCACCATATGATCATACTCTGTTTTAAGCTTTTGGAAATTTTCGTAAGGCAATAAACTTTTCGATGAAATTGCCTGAAGATGATCGGCACTATCGTCAAGAATTGTTTTCATTTCTGTGTAAGAAGTTTGGAGGTGCTGAAACAGAACATAACAGTTATCCATGATCTGTGCAAAGAGTGGATGAATCTTTACCTTGCAAATCTCGATTTCATTTTGATACGATTGTATAGAATTTAGATTTGATCGCGAACGAGATAGTTCACTATTGAAACGTTCCATCTGTTGTTGATAACGACGTTTGTTCGCATCGAAACGTTCCCAAAGTTCGAGCAAAACCTAAAAAAAGCAATAGAACGAGAACATTGAGCACGACTTTGACCTACTTGAAGTTTCTCTAATAACTCATTTGCAGATTGACGCTTTTCATTGTATAGTTTCTGTATATTTTGTACATCTTGTTGAACGTATCTCGGTGCTGTATCTTGTTTCATCAATTCATCAGCTCGTGAGCTCAATTCGTTGACTTGATGAGAGAAACTTTCTAGAACATCGCAAACTTTCTTCTGGCCTTGAACGGCCGTACGAACATCAGCTAGATCTCGAAAATTCAATGGCGCATTCGAGATATTCGATAGAGTCGTATGCAATTGTTGAGTATTTTCATGAATCATCTTCGCCGGTACAATAACAGTGCAACGTTGTGATGCTTCATCGACTGAAACGAGTGTCTGTTTGTAACGTGAGAGAAGTACATCGAGTCGTTGTCGATAACGAGCGGGATCTTCTGTACTGTGTTCTTCGATGAGTTCATTCATCAGTGCAGAAAGTGCTTTGACATCGCGAGCAATCATTTCGACTTGTTCCATGGCATTCTAAAGTATCGAATCGAACGGTGTCTAATATAGTTTTAGAAGGTTTTCTACCTTGAATTTGTTTACAGTGGCTTTGTATTGTTCAAAGGAAACTTCGACGTTTTGTGTTTCGTTAATCAATCGTTCGATTGCTTCCATCCACGCTTCTACCACACGAAATCTAAATAGAGTATTTATTAGATAACCTATTTTGTTTTTCATTCGAAATGTTCATTTTACTTTTCTTCAAATTCCTGTCGTTGTTTCGGTAGTATCTGAAGTTTTCTTTTAACGTTATCAATCTTCGTCTGCGTGCGTGCCCAATAATCATTCAATTTGGTTGTTCGTTCGTCCATCTGATCATTTTCTTGACTGGATGTTGAGCTTGTATCATGACTACGAATATCATTGGCATAGGCATGCAAGTTTCTCAAATGCGTTTCCATTGTCGGTTGAAAATTATTCAATTGAAAGCGTTCGTTATGACGTCGAAGGATGTCCGATGTGTCCATGTGTCTTTCCATTTGTTTTAACTCTTCGTTTAATTCGTCTTCGGCTTGTTTCAACTCCTTAACGATGATACTTTCTAAGCGTTCATATTGTAAACGCAATAAACGTATTGGGGCGTGACAAACAATGCTGTTCCATCGTGATTCCAATGTATCCATAAGAAATTGAATCTCCTTCTGTTCACTTTCATCTCGAATGTGTAATAATTCACGGCCGGATTTGATAAATCCGTGGAGGATTTCATCATCAATAATCTGAAAGAAATTCTTATGTTTTTGTATGAGATATGCGTAGTCTTCATGTTTTTCCAGGACAATCGTTTGAGCTTGTTCGATCCATTGTTCAAGATGTCGCAAACGTTGATTAAAATCTTTCCATAACTGTGAATGTTGATTAAATTCCTTCTCCCAATACGAAGCTTGCTGACGAATTTGCTATATGCAAAGAAGCAAAGAGATTTTTTGAGTAAAAACTAATAACCAACTTACTTCAAATGTATCTGCTAATTGTTTATACTGTTCATCCACTGGAGCGAAATTTAACGGGACTGAATTTTCTGTTGATTTCTTCATCGTTACAATTAATTTCGCTTTGGTATCCAGTAAAGATTGATAGTAATCAAGGTCAGCAAAGAAGTTCTAGACGAAAGTATGCACAAAACAAAGATTCGTCGATAATAGAGAAAACCTACTCGATGTTGTTCGAGAGAATCTTCGATCCGTTTGACTGAAACTTGAATTGAATATCGACTGAACAATTGTTTCGCGTCGTTGAACCATTGTTGACATTTCTGTAAGCCATCATCGAACTTTTGTAAATGTCCTAACATAATTTTATTTCGTTTCAGAATATTCGGTAATTGTTCTTGAATGTGACGTAGTTTATCGAAACATATCTGTAATAGTGAGTTCATTTCGGTTGAACCATTCGATTCTCCGCTTTCACGTGCGATCGTTTGGCTTAGTTTTGAAAGAACTTGAACTGTTTGATTGAACATTTCCAATTCGGCTTGAGCATCCTAGAAGAAAAACAAATGTCATAGTCGCTTGAACAGCAAGATATGTGTTTAGTATACATAGAGACGATTTTCTTGTGATTTCAGTGCTTTAGCTGTACATGGCAGACATTCTTGCATTTCACGGTCGATTTTATCTAATGTGTCTAGTAATTTCGCTCGACCAGAATAGAAATCATCACGTTTCTTCTTGATCGACTCGTCATGTCGGAATTGATGAACTGATTCAGTCACCTCTTTCCATCGTCGATTGACAAATAACAATTTATCTCGAAGCATTCGAGCGTATTCATCATTACAAACAGATATCAATCGATCAATGGCAGCATGCACTTTTTGGTGAATTTGTGACCAATAGTCGATATTAGCGAAATAGTTCTAAGAACAAATGAAGGAAAATAAAGACAAACTTCAGCACAAATTTTTACATTTTTCTCTTCGGACGTCTGTCCAAGCATGTGTTCGCCTTTGTTTAACCAATCTTCCAATGAATCGTACGATTCATGGTAGATTCGCCAACTACTGATCGTCTCTTCTAATAAATGCTTTTTTGCTTCTAGGTCGATACTAGCGTTTTTTGCTGTGCAACGAATCCTATCACAATACACCTGGTATTCTCTTGCTCTCTCATCATCTGAATTCATAAACAAACATATACAATAATCGATGGACTCAATTCAAACCTTTCTTGATCAATTGACTGTAATTTTGTGCGCGACGAAGTAATTCAGGTAGAAGACTTTCAAGATTTGACAGTAGTTTCTCATCATATATATGATGCTGTAAATAGAGTAAACAGAGTAATCGAATGTGAATCTCAATTTTGCGTCGTGCATACTTTGTATTCACTGTATAATGATTCCGTTTGATTTAAATCGCCTTGTTTTTTATTCAATATCGTTGCTAAGATTTCTAATTGACTAACATATGATTGAACTTTCCAACGTATTTCTTCAAAATCTAAGAATCGTCCATACTCTTCATGAGTGCGAATGATGGAGTCGAGACGTTCAGTTAAATGCGTTAAATGTTCGTGCGAAATTTGTTTGTTGACTACGGTCGGATCACGTTTGATACGTTGGAAACTCGACACCATTCGTTCTTTATCATTGAAAATCGCAGTGTATTCTTCGTTGAGTTGATTGAAACGGTCGATGTTTTCTTCGGGTGATGATTTCATTGGATCAAAATTGATCTCTCGTGTTAAAACTTCTTCTGCAGTATTGATCCAATCAGCTATTTGTCCTAATTCACCTGGAAGATTTGTATCCAGTTTAAATCTCCATCGGTCCATTCTGCAATGAGAGAACGCGCGAGTTTTGAAGATTAAAATGAAGAGATTGTGTCCTACCGGAGAGCGATGTCATCAAAATAATCTTTCATTTCTCTTAATTTGTCACCGGGAAAAGTCGATGATTTCGATTCTTTACGTTCGAATATCTTCCACTGTCTTTGTTTGTCGCCAAATTCATGCAATTCTCGGCAGTAATCCTACATAGCGTGAGAATTATTTTTCGTATCTCGTGACTTTTTTTTCTCGATTAAAATATAAACAGAACATATTCGTTGTTACCTTGTACTCAGCTTGAATGTCAATGATCGGGGCATCAATAATAACGGTTAAACGTTCGCGAGTGTCAGCGATATATTGAAGAAGTTCACCATGTTCTTTATTGATTGAACCGAACGGCTAAACAGAAGTCAAGTTAATACGAGATGAGAGATGTCGAAAACCGTACTAGATCAGGAAATCGACGAGAAAATTGTCCGACGTAAGTCATAATCGATTTTTCGTCGGGTTTATTTACATCCACATCTGTAAATAAAACAAAATAATCGACGAACTTCTTCGAAGAATCAGCAAACCTTCAGCATCAATTAAACGTGGCACACCGAGATGTTCTTCTGCAACATTAAATGCATTCTCCAATCGATCTCGAACATCCATTTCTTTCACATCACGTAAATCGACCAGATCCGGTCGAATTCCGTGCACTAAGGCATTAAAAGCCAAGCCATCTCGCCAACTCGTGGTAAAATCTCGGACATCCAATTCATCCCCTTGTCTAATCGAAAAAGAAATCAGAAAATCAGTATGAACACCGATAAGCTACAGATAAACTAAGAGAGGCTCATGCAGATATATCTCACCGACGATGTCCGGGTAATGAATAAAATCTAGATTTGATTAGTAGGAAAACATGTTCATACACTCGTGAAAACAACTCATACCCAGTTTTCTTGCGAACCCATTCGAGTAGATGTTCCTTCGGTTTGCCACGACTTTCTTTTGAATCATCATCGTACATGTTCGTATCTCCAATCTAAACAAATTTCTTTTCAGTTCGAATTACGAAAAAGTTCGTCCTTAAGACAATATCTAATAAAATAATATTAAGAGTTGCGAGCAAAAAAAAAACGAAGACAAATTTGCCTTGAAGTTCATTCATATATACACACACACACACTTCGAAAATAACAGAACCTGATGCAAATCAACACCTCGAAGGACTTTTATTATGCGGTCGCAATAAAAAAATTGCGTACGTGCTCTGTTCACCTTCACTTTCAAGAAACAAACGGATGTCAAAATGAATCCCACCGATATTGCCATGTTCACTGTAAGACAAAACTTCTTTTGTCTTGAACGTGAACGAAATTCTATTCTACGTTGCTCTTATTTGTTTAGGAGTTTTACATTTCAATCAATAAGACATTTGTTATACAAACACTCCGATCAAGTATCTCAAAACGGTTAAATTTAGACGCAAAATATCTTAATGAAGTAAGCGACTGAACGACACGTTCTTACCTGATAGTGAAGAATTAACATCCAAACTAAACCTAATATCATCGTCGGTTTGCCATCAACGATATCGATTGGACGAATATTAACTAGTTTGATCTTTGAAAATAAATTATAGAAAGATGCAATTTGTTCTCTTCACTTGATTTACCTTTCGACTCTCAAGATACTTTAAGACGTTGTCTACATTACTGAGATGGTGAGCTCTTTTGTTACCTCGTTCCACAGGCTAAAATGCGAATCGTATCGAATGAGTTAATTCGGTTAACCAGACTTACTAATGGTTGTCCGGAAAGAGTCTCAACTAATGCAATCAGCTTTGTTCCATCGTTGAAGTCCTCGAATAAATCATTGATGTGAAATGGTGGTTCGTGCTCCGATAGATAAATATTAACCCATTTCGTAAAAGTTTTCTTCTGGACACGTTCTTGTTCGTCTAATTAAATAAAAATCAAAAAGAGATGACTTGTTTCTTCTTCTTCTTCGTTCTTATTGAACCTGCTGACGGAAATGAAGTGGAGACGATACTTCCACTTAGTGATGTTTGTCTTTGAAGACAATGCCATGATCCGGGCTGAATCTGATAGGATTTCTTGAATTTTTTTTTCAACATCTTATACTCAAACGAATGAAAGGAGAAAGATGAAAGAGGAAGAGAAGTACAGATCGATTGCAAGGTTTTTTCTAATTTTACATCGAACAGATGCGCACGCGTCTGTCGAGTATATCTCTAATCAAACCGCAACTTTCGCAACGAGTAACATTTGATATATCTTACTTTGAAGTGTAGTGATACTTTCTTCCAATTGATTTCGCGCAGATGTTGGTCGAGAAGTGCTGCCTGTCGTAGCAGGAAGATAAGGTGTTAGACGAGAAGCAGTTGGCGAGAGACTTGATTGAATCGGACTGCTCATATCTCGGCAGAAATCTTCAATCTAACGAGAAATACAAATTGTGTAGATATTTATGATCATGTCGAAGATTTGTCTGCAAAGAACAAAAGAGCTGTTGTTTAACCACAAATGTCTTTGTTTGTAACGAGCTTTTTCTATTCAAGGTGTATTGCTGCAAAATGAACAACTTTCTCCCTCATCAGTTCGTTTCTTTCTGTTACGTCTGATTTTTTTACAACATAAGTGGTTAAAGAAGAAAAAAAAAAGTTTCAATCATCGACTTTCAAGATGGTGACTGTACAATCGAGTGAAATACTTAAGATTAAAATAGCCTAAGCGATCGCTCAATCAACTAGTCCTCAGTATCGATGAGATCGACATCGAAAACTGCGGTTTATGTGGGGAATACACATACGTTACTTTTCCCCGATACTGAAATTTCGATCTTTTTTTTTGTAGGTAGTCAAAGTAAAACACTTAACAGTTCAAGTATACGCATGTGAATTTTTTGTGATGTTTTATCTTTCTTTCTATTATTCCGCAGTCGGGCATGATCATCTAAGAAGAAAAACAACTTCGTTGATCGAGTAAACGAATAGTCTAGTTAAAAGCATCCATATAAATATTTTTCTTCTATTCTTTACAAAACTGATTGAAACCGAATAGAATTGATTATTAATTTTTCTTCCAGTCAAACATGAAGTTTCGTTTTCTTTTTCTTCGTCGTCTCATTTCGAGATTTGATTTAACATCAAAGCAACAGAAACCATGTCTCTCGAGCAACAAATGAAATTATCCGATGAAAACTATCAACTTCGATCTGACCTTGAGAAGAAAAGAATTCCTTTGATTTGACTCATCGGATTTCTAAAACAAAATTCTCTACCAGTTGTCAACTTCACATGAATTCTCTGTTCGAATAATTAAACATATAATTACTCACATTTTGTTCTTTCAATCGATACATTTGATAAATACGAAAAAGATTTCTTGAGTATTCTGATCTATTTAGTAATGATCACAATCAAGAACTGTTCTCTATAGATGCAATGAACAATCGTATTGATGAAAACACCTGTTTTTATACATCTGATTCAATTCAACTTCTGTCTTTTCGTCTAGACCTACTAGATGCACTTGAAACTGTACGCAGTGCAGCTAATAGAACGAACTAAACGTTTTGAATTATCAGTGAATAGGGATGTGATTCTCCCAAGGTGAATATGATTTCGCTATGATAAACATCCAAATTTTTCTGACAATATCAATCAGTTTATTTGCAAAACAACAGAATGTGAAGTCGTAAATAATACTGATAAGATGAGTTTATGGTGATAGAACAACTGTAAAATCGCGAGAAAAGGGGGTGCATTATATAAGAATTTCTGTTTCATCACAAGAGTTTATTAGAAATAAAAACAAGTTCGTTATGTAGATGACGAAGTTGAGTTGCGTACAATATCGATACATTTGCAATAACGATGAGTTTAGTTATTATTATCATATATTGTATATACTGAAATTCTGAAAGTTGAGCTATGTTAAGTTTTTGAGCGCAGTGAGTATAAGAAATAAAAACGCTATACGAAAGGAGAATCTTATAACCTAAAATCAATACGTTTTGCGCACAAAATGACCTATAAGTTCTATTTTGGGGGTGTACAATCTCGATCAGCACCCCCCGGCATGAATCGCTGAAACCTTAATTAACATTATTCACGTGGAAGGGGTGCCGTGTCGACTGGTTGTGTATATATGTAAATCTTTTCAGATCACATTTCAATGTTTTTCACTTATCATTCCTAATGTCGTCTTCGAAACACGAACACTCACATGATCATCATCACGAACATCACGGTCGACGACGATTATTCTGTCGAACGAAGACATTTCGTTTGTTGGTCATGCTTACATTGACATTCGCATTCTTCATTGTCGAATTGATTGTTGGTAATCTAACCAAATCGGTTGCACTTGTTGCCGATGCGTTTCATATGCTGTCGGATGTAATATCATTAGTGATTGGTATTGTTGCTGTGCGAATTGTCAAACGTCGTTCCAATGCGAATACGTATGGTTGGGTACGCGCGGAGGTTGTCGGTGCCAATGTGAATACAGTTTTCCTTTTGGCACTTTGTTTGACGATTATCTTCGATGCGATAAAACGGTTTATCGAACCTGAACCAATCGAAAATGTGAATCTATTGTTGATTGTTGGTTCGATTGGTTTAGGAATCAACATTATTGGTCTATTTTTATTTCAAGGCTTCCACGGACATTCACATGGAGGTCATTCACATGGACACAGGAAAGTCGAACATAATGGAAATAATCTTGCAGATGAACATAGTAATAGTGCGAACAGATTTGAACGACACAGTACACGAGCTTTACAGGAAGTAAGTTTTAGAAAAATGACTCCTCGCCTTTCTGATTATTGTCTTAATTATTTGCTAAATGTAGGTAATTGCCGATAGTGTAACTCAGGCTGATCAGAACCCATCCGATATTGTTATAGACATTCAAGACAAACAGACATCAAAGAAGAAAGCATCTATGAATATGCACGGTGTATTTTTACATGTCCTAGCTGATGCACTTGGTTCAGTTGTTGTTATTATTAGTGCACTAATTATCAAATTTGTGCCTCACGATAAGACCGATCACAAGCACTGGACAGTTTACATCGATCCTAGTTTATCTGTAATCATTGTTATTATCATCACAATCTCAACAATTCCACTCTTTCGTGACACATCTTCCATACTACTTCAGACAGTTCCTAAACATCTTGAAGTGCAGCGAATTAAAAGCGAACTGTTAGAAGCCGTCCCGGAAATCAGTAGTGTTCACGAACTGCATATATGGCGGTTAACGGATGAAAAGATCATTGCTAGTGCACATTTGCACCGAAAAACTCTAGCGAATTATATGTCAGTTGCTGATAAGGTGAAGAAGTTTTTTCATTCGATCGGAATCCATTCTGTAACAATGCAATATGAATGCGATGATGATTATCACCAAACTCCAACGTTACATCGAACTAGTTTCAGTGAAACAAAAATCGCAGGTGATTGTCTATTGCGTTGCGATAATAATGCCTGTGATACACAAACCTGTTGTACAATAGTATCGGCTCGGTCCAATACGTTATTGAGCAATCAAGATGCCGATCTTGTTGAAAATCCGGTTCAAGTCTCTTCTATTAGTCAGGCATTTGAGAATAGGAAACCTGCAGAGGATCATACTAGCTCGAATAAACCATTTGTAAATGAAAAGTTTTGAAAATATTTTATCTTTGTGTAATAAAATTTTCTAAGATGAATTAAAATGTTTATTTATTGATTAGGAACGTATTGAAACTTTAAAGAGCAGTAACGCCTAGCACTAATGTGAGAAAAGATAATATAATCGATGCTTTGGGTTTAAGCAGTGCGACAGAATTTTCCAAAGTGTTGTCTATCGACACTGGTCCAGCAGAAAAAGTCCAGCATGTTTTGCGCCAAACAAACCATCGTGAGTATTCCTGTGGACGATTCTTAGGCGATAGAGTGCTAGTGTATAGTTGCACAGCAACTTCTGAGCCTTGATCATATAGATCGTGCCAATTAGCAATATCTGTCATGGCATATCCAGTACAATTAGCGTTTGAATTGCATTCTTTGACTGCATCCGACCATCGAAGAATACAGTAACCAGATGCTAGTGTGTTACTCGGACATTGGTAGCTTTTCTCATCGTAAAACACATTGCCTGTTGGATCCAATTCATAAGTATACCAATTACAGCTCTTACTAAACGAACCATACGAAAACACATGCAAGAATTCGTTGACAGGTACATGAAACTTACTCTAATCTTACCATTGAACGACCTTTTAAGTCGAGTTCATCACTATCATGCATTAATCCAAATAAACTGCGTTTTTCTCTTGCAACGATCGACGGAATAACAATAGCTGCTAAGATGAAAACTACGTGCATCAGACGCATGATTGTTAGTTTCTTGCTGTCGATATACTTCACTACCTATGTAAGGTGGACGTGAATGATTGTAACAAGTGACGATTCTGTCTTGGCACATGTGCTTTTTTTTTTCATAACTATACTTTGGAAAAAGTTATTCAAGCATGAAGAAAGATAAATAAACGAGAAAAAAAATACAAATCAGATAGTGGGTGTCTTTCGTTTAACACCATATCGCTAAAATAATAATAATATTACGAATGCTGCGTTAGTTAGGATGTATTGACATTTCATACAAAAAGCTTTCGCTGTGCACAGATAATCACGGAGGAAGAATTCGTCTTCTTGAGGATGTGCGCTGCTCATCCTAAAGAAACCCAATATTTCTATTTAGAGTATGATGTTTATTTAGTTTAAAAAAGAAGCTTATTTTCGAGTCACAATCTATTGTAGAACAAGTCATTAGTATGATCTCCACGTTTCATACTGTTGGGGAGGTCCAAAACGAAGTCTTCCACCTGGCTCTTCCCACATCTCATAGGAATGAGGAGGACCAAATCGAAACTGTCCAGTTCCATCTCGCCACATTTCGTACGATCGTGGAGGTCCAAAATGTAATCTTGTCATTCCATGAGAATCCCATGTGGATCGTTTCTGTCTATCGATAGGCGCTGTAAAACAACAATAGACTTGTAAAATGACCATAACGGTAATTAAGAAATATTTTGACATCATTGTATCAATTGTTTTTCGTAGTTCCAACAATAAATGAAAACGACCACAGTTCTATCAAGTATTTATACCCATCTCACTTCCTTTACAGTGCTATCTAGATGGCCTTTAACCAAAAAAATCAACTTTGATTCACTTCCCAATTCTCTAATAGTTCCTCTCAAGAAAATTGTAGAAGAAATTCACATCCATAACAATACCATTCTCGAAAAATCGTTGTTTCTCGATGGTAAACATTTTGTTTGTACCAATCTACAAAAACAAGATGATCTGCTTGATATTGTTGAGGGCGCAGAAAACAGTTATATCTATTTTTTATTGTGGAATTTAACAACTAAAACTAGTCGACATCCACAAGCTGATGTATTTATGACATAACAAAAGGTTGAGTAAGAAATATAAAAAACTTTCTACTGATTGCAAAGTTCTTGTTGCACTAACTTGATCCAATATGCAACACCGTATGGAATAGCATCATCATTGAAATCGTATGTTGGAGAATGTATATCTCTGCTTTCTCCTTTATTGTTGATTCCGAGAAAAATGAATGAACCAGGTCGTTCAACTAGAAAGAAAGCAAAATCTTCACCACCCATCGACGGCTCTCTATTTTTATTGACGTTCGCTTCGCCGACAACGGCTTCAGCTGCTTTAATTGCTCGTTTCGTTTGTTCTTCATGATTCACAAGAGCAATCCCAAGACGAACATATTCAACTTCTGCTCGACAACCATAACTAGCAGCTAAACCATCAGCTAATTCTTTGATGCGTCTTTCAATTGTATCACGCACCGACTCTTTCAAACTTCGAGCAGTCCCGCCAATACGTATTTTCGATGGCATCACATTCACCGAGTCAAATGATCCGCTTTCGATAGCACCAACACTAATCACAGCAGTGTCGAGTGCATTTACATTGCGACTAACAATCGTTTGCAAAGCTAGAAGAAATTGTGCTTGTAAAACAGTAACATCAGTAGCGCGATGTGCACCTGCCCCACCATGACCACCCGTGCCGTAAAACGTAACAAACCAACGATCGGATGCAGCCATAAATGGACCTGATCGGATAGCAAATTGTCCGAGTGCTTCTCCATAGTTGTGTAAACCGTAAATAGCGTCCATTGGAAACCGTTCGAATAGTTTATCATTGATCATTGCTATTGCACCCTTTTGCCCTTCTTCAGCGGGTTGAAATATAAAATGAACAGTTCCACAGAACGAATCCCGATGTTCGGCCAGATGTTTAGCCGCACCGAGCAACATCACTGTATGTCCATCGTGTCCACAAGCATGCATAGTGCCAGGCTTCGTGGAGCAGTATGAAACGTTGGATTGTTCAGTTAACTGAAGAGCATCCATATCAGCACGGAGACCAATAGTTCGATCACCTGGTTTCACACCTGTCAACGTGCCAACAACGCCAGTTTTACCTACACCGTCCGTGACTGTTATACCCCATTCTGTTAGTTTCGCGATGATCAATGCTGACGTTCGTACCTCTCCCATGGCCATTTCAGGATGTGCATGAATATCGTGTCGAATTGTTGTTAATTCTGCTTGCATTTCACGTACTTTATGAAGAAGGGCGGTCGTCATTATTGCTATCTGCGTAACCGAACTGTTTTATTCAAATAAAATGTGTCTATAGCACACCTACTTCGACTGAGCGAACAACACCGATAATAAGAGTAAGCAAACATACAACTAATCAAAAGATAAGAACAGTTAAAATACAATGATAAAGAAACAGAGAGAACAATCACCGTTTGGTCATGGTGTTTTCATACGGTGACATTGTGAACGCGGCTATACATCTACAAGAGAGAGAGAGAGATGTAGATGGAAGAACGCTTCCATCCTTCACTAGTGTGAGCCTTTACCAAGAGGCTCTATTCACACTCTTACACTTCGTCGTTCTGTCCTTATTAACATGTGTGTTAACCGTCATTCCAGCCAGTCCTTTCTCTGCTCTTTATTTCCTTCCTCCATCTAAATCAACAATTTGTTTGTGCTGAACATCAATGTCAAATACAAAACCGAATGTTATATTCGTCATCGGTGCACCTGGATCGGGTATGTATCGTATTCATTGAACGGCGAATTTAATCTTTTTCCTCTTCTAGGTAAAGGTACACAATGTAAACGAATTGCCAAAGTAAGTCGAATGGTGACATGTCTTGATCAGGATCATTTCCTCTTGCTTGCTGTAGACCTTTGATTACGTTCATCTATCAATTGGTGATCTTCTCCGAAAAGAAGCCGAGAGATCTGATACCGATCTGGGCAAGCAACTGAAAGATCACATGAAAAATGGTTCTCTCGCTTCGACGGAACTTGTTTGCAAATTATTGGATGAAGTATGTCTATATACGTGCATGATAATGTTCAACTCTTTCACTGGTCTCTTTGTTAAACAAAGGCAATGAAGAAAGAAAACAAAAGAAATTATCTAATTGATGGATTTCCAAGAGATAAGCAGAACGTGGATGGATGGGACAAGGCAATGAGTGATAAAGTAAATCTTCAGTGTGTATTAGTTTTTGATTGTGATGAAAAGGTAAGAAGAAAAAATGTTTGAGATGCTATTTATTCTTTTGATGTGCCTCGTATCGATATCTAGACTAGTACCACTCGATGTCTCGAACGTGGCAAGAGCAGCGGACGGGCAGATGACAATGAAGAAAGTCTGAAAAAACGGTGATTTTTGTGAAAACATGGTGAAGTTCTCTCATTCTTAAAATATTTTAGCCTAGTCACCTACAATGAATCGACTCGGCCAATAATTGAATTGTATGAGACAGAAAACTTAGCACATAAGATTGATGCTTCGAAAGATGTCGATCAGGTTTGGAAGATGAATTTTTTTTCTTCTATTACATAAATCAAATATTTCCATGTCTAGATCTTTGAACATGTTCAAAACATAATGAAGAATCTCAAATGAACAATTCCATTATCATAATCTGGTTTTCGTTTTAGTGGTGAATGCTTTTATATTCATTATTATATTTATCATCGTAATCTAGCAGTTGTTCTTACTTGTAAATCATTAACTAAATAATTATCCCTTTATCGTCGAAACACAACCTATCCTATTATTTCATGTCAACAGAGAGCATAGAAGATACGTGTTATCTTCATAAATAAAAGACAAGTCATCTGAGTGAAATAAACTGCAGAGATAGGACATAGGTGCAATGTTGTCGATTATCTTCATTTATATTTACTTCCTCACTTTTCTTTCTTCCACTGTCCAACACCGCTGTCTTGGGTTTTGCGACGTATACCTAAGTTTTAATGAAACACTCAATGCCATCCCGTCTACTTGCGATAAAACATTTGAATCTGGCGAGTGTTTCACTGAACTTAGTTTTGATTACGTATCAAAATTGATACATGTCAAATTCGGGGAGCAAAGTGTTGTTAGTGCAAATGCAACATCGGACGATTATTATCTATCCCATGAGACGGAAATGTGGCATGAAACGTTCAATGTGCAATGGACTATATTCAAACATAAATGTTACAATGAAGACACCTGTGATTTGAAATACGTTAATACGAAAATACTCGAAATGCGCAAATTAATTTGGAATTTCGCTGAATTTCAACAGAAACTATATTCGGCATTGTTCACGCCTGACTCAACTTTGGACACCATTCGGTGTGCGTCAACAGATGGTCAACCAGCAACGTGTTCTGACGAAATCAAGTCCTGCAGTCTAAACATGGACAATCTTCGTTTCAATAACACACAAAGAGGTTGTTCGTCGCGCAGCGATGATCACGCACGAAAACAACTGGGAATCAAAGAGGAAACAGCCTACTTTCTCGATGGCAAAGAAGATGCTCGACAAAGTCTAGTTGAATATGTTTGTAATCATGATTTATGTAACGAACGAGATCCATATCATATTGTCATGAAATTATTGATCGAATACAATCTATTACGTCCAAATACACCAATAGAACCTCCGTTTTCTATGGCCAGTTTGAATCAACCAGTGAATAAAACATTATTTTTCTCTTTTTTTCTCGTTCTATTTTATATTTCATAAGAAGATTGTAATAACAAAAAGAACGTATTGAAATTCATCCTCATATCAAGTATCACCATGTCACCACTATTTGTCTAGTGGTATTGCACCACTGACAATGGAAAAAATCTTGCTAGCCAGTATAAAACCGTCAAATTTCTTCATTCAAATTTAATCATCTACCGACGTGCGATGCCTTTCGAATCTCTTCCAGACGAATTATTACTAATCATCTTTAGTCATCTCCACCAGATCGATGTGATCCGAACATTTACAAACCTTAATCAAAGATTTCAGCGAATGATCATCCCATTTGCATCTGTCATCGATCTGACGTATCGAAATATACCATCCTATCGACTCTATCAATCATTTTGTCAAGATGTTCTTCCATGGCATGGACCAAATATTCGATCACTCAGACTAGCTGGAAATCAACAACTGTATTTCATTCAACCGCAACTGCATCGGTTAATGAATCTACAGTCTCTCACATTGATTGGAGAAAGATCGTATGATATCAATAAGTTCGTCATAGAAAAACAATTTCTCATTGATATTCTGACAACTTCGTCTTGTCTATCAGAATTAATAATCTTTCCGGCAGAACGAAACGCATTGCATATAATTGCATCTCACTCATCACCTAATTTATCCACATTGACTTTACTATTTTATAACGATATACCAAATTTTACACTTACTACATCATTGATATTTATCAAACGTTTGTATATTAATCTTTGGTCACTCAAAGCAGTTAAACAACTATTGAGAATACTGCCCAGTATTGAACAATTGTATTTATCACTTCTTCGTTTCAAAGACTCCACAAATTGTCATCTCATTCAAGTTCCACCCACACTAACAAAATTACATCTCGAAATCAATGGATTTTGCTATTCGCGATATGGACCACAATTTGACTACATCTATCAATTCCTAAATGCTTTCAAAGACCGCATATATTCATTAGATCTCATATTCATCAACGCACTTCGCGAATTTTCGATCTATAATCGATTTCAAAGTCTGACAAAAGACTTCGTTAGACTTCAATCATTTCAATATTATTTACAAACTCGGTACCAACCGCATTTCCCCCATTTGTTTTCAAATGTTGAGCAATTACAAAATTCGACGTATATTCTTTATACTCTTCCACGACTTCAACCATTCGATNTCATCAACGCACTTCGCGAATTTTCGATCTATAATCGATTTCAAAGTCTGACAAAAGACTTCGTTAGACTTCAATCATTTCAATATTATTTACAAACTCGGTACCAACCGCATTTCCCCCATTTGTTTTCAAATGTTGAGCAATTACAAAATTCGACGTATATTCTTTATACTCTTCCACGACTTCAACCATTCGATACTGTATCTAATCGAACATCAGTGTATCATGACATGAATTATAACCCGAATCAGACGTTCGTGCATAGTTATGAATGTCCTCTCATAAGTAATCATTTTGACGATGGGCATTTACTGACACCGACGTTAGATGAACAATTTAAACTTGTTAATGTGCACCAGGTAACAATCGAGGGTGTCAGAAATATACGAAGTAGTCTGTCTGAGTTGTTCTCGAAAGTAATCATGAATTCGTTGAGCCTGACGGATATACGCATCGACGAACCGGCAAATGTTTGCATTCAAATCCTTCACAACATCTCAGTCAGACAGAGAAAGCAAATTATCTATCTAGATTTGCAATATGATCGCTCCTTCGATTGGGGCAAGTCAGTTTCTGTTTTATCAGACATGTTACCAAATTGGAAGATACTTGGACTTACGCTACGATCACACCGCATTCACCTTGAGTACTTCCACGTTGCTAGTATTATTAAAAATCTTCAAAAGTATTGTCGGACATTGTCGGTGCTTATACTGGAACTACGGAAATCGGATGAAGAGTTTAAATCGAACTTCAAGCGCATCAAAACAGAACTGTATGAACTGAGCGTACGAACAATGGAAACTCGACCGTTGTGTTACACAACAAACGGCGACAGTGCCGCTCTCTTGATATGGCTTTGATGATCGAGTATGAACTGTTTAATTTGTTTATTCTAATTGTTAAAGTTATCAATGTTGAATCGTGTTCGAAAAATAATTACATGAAAACTATTGCTGATTGATTTATCTCTGATCTGATGAAATTGATTGATCAGGAAATCTATAGGTGTGAATGAACTGAACCCTTTCTTAGTAGGAGAATGTCGAGGACTTTTACAATAATAATAGAAAAGTATGGATCGCAAATGAGCGTATGCCGAGGGACGTAAACGTAATATCCATCTCAGTGTTACGATTGTACATCCCAGTACTATATATGAGCGAAAGCTCGATCGCGCTTACTCCATTAGTGGACGAATATTGTATACGATCGTAATGTACCGAATTCAGGTATATATGATCGTTTTGTATGTCGTCGCCGCCTATACATATGTTCACTTGAGTAATCGATCACAACAAGCATGGTGACATCCAATTCAGAGTTAATTGTCAATCTAGTTCTGTTTTTATCGCAAATTCATTTGGTAACAGCGACTTTCGACAATAATTCTAGTTTCTCACGACAAAACAATGATCAGCTGTATATTTGCCTTTCGTCATCAATATCAACATTCGTGCGTTGTATTTATCCATGTAGAACTCCTAGCAATCAAAACAGCCGCATATATTCATGTGAGAACTTTGATATTCATAACCTAGCAAGTATGCGCGGATCTCGAATTTTACATTCGCCAGCTGTTGTTGTTTATGCTATGACAACTTGGGACGTACAAAACATTGTCAAATGTGCAACAAAATTGAATTATGTGGTAAATGCATTGAGTGGAGGACATAGCTATGAAGGGTACAGTTTAGGTTCAGTACCAAATAATATCATCATCAACTTCGGAAAACTCAATCATATTCATTTTAATGTGCATGATAAAATTGTGAAGATTGGGCCAGGCGCAAGACTCGGACCGATATACTATAAATTATATCAGAATGAGAAGCATACAATCCCAGGTGGATCTTGTCCATGGGTCGGAATTGNGAGGACATAGCTATGAAGGGTACAGTTTAGGTTCAGTACCAAATAATATCATCATCAACTTCGGAAAACTCAATCATATTCATGTTAATGTGCATGATAAAATTGTGAAGATTGGGCCAGGCGCAAGACTCGGACCGATATACTATAAATTATATCAGAATGAGAAGCATACAATCCCAGGTGGATCTTGTCCATGGGTCGGAATTGGTGGTCTAACTCTCGGAGGTGGTTATGGACTACTTGCTCGATTGCACGGATTATTAGTTGATCAAGTTGTAGAGATGAAAGTAGTCAATGCTCAAGGTAAGGATAAACATTATACATCCTTAGAAACGATAGAGGAAATTGTTTTCGAGGTGATCTATTGGCAATCAGTACTAGCCATGAGCCAGACTTATTTTGGGCTTTACGTGGTGCTGGTGGAGGTTCCTTTGCCATTGTTACTGAATTCACGCTTCGATTAGTTCGAGCCCCATTAGTAGTGACAAGATTAAAGGCTGTCTGGCATCCGAATGCAACCAAAGCTGTTATGAAGCGTTATCAACTATTGATGTTTAACGCCCGTCTATCAAATTTCAGTAATAACATTTTCTTACAGATGTTAATCGTGAAAGAACAGATTGCGATATCGATTACTCATTATGGTCCTGAAATTCGCGAGTTTAACAGAACTGTTTCATTGATGCTAGCAACATTACCAACTCCAAAGACCACTAACACTTATCAACAAGATTGGTTAAGTTTCGTTTATGATCTGTCAGATATTGCCGATGCTGATCATAATTATCGAAAACTATTGCTGGAAAATGCCACACTTCCAACATATGAATTTAAATCAAAACATCTGTATTTCGATAAACCGATTAGTGATCATAGTATCGATCAATTAACACGTCATCTTTCCTTGGGTACCGGTCGACTCCATCTGGAATTTAATCCTTGGGATGGATATATCAATACAATTCCAATCGATGCGACAGCATTTCCTCATCGCCAGTATAAATTTGGTATTCAATTCACGGATTATTGGAATCATACATGTGACGAGCAACGACAGATAAATTGGTTAGAACGAATCTATACATCTGTTCACAATGATTCAACGAAACATTCCTATATAAACTATATCGACAGAGATGTTCCTAACTGGATGGACGTCTATTACGGTTCTCATAAACAACGCTTAAGAAAAATTAAACAGATATACGACAAAGATAATCGATTTCATTTTGAAAGATCAGTGTTATAAAGCGAAATAAATCTTCCAGTTGTTTTGGGAATCATTGACTAGAAATGATATCTCATGAGAACATAGAGCATTGTGAAGTTATGCACTATATGCAATATGAAAGCGTGAAAAACTACAATGAATGATGAGATATCGTTCACTATTTGCCTGGATTTGTGTGTAAGTTATGGATGATTGCATTTACGTTGTATGTCTATTGGTGTAGGTGTGCTCTTTTTCCTTCGTATAGACACACATACACGTTATTTATCGCGTAACGTACGTTGTGTTGTTGCTTTTCGTACATAACGGTGATCAAATGAGTTTCGATGGGAAATCAAGTCTTTTGAACGGAGAAGAGCTGCACGTTGGCGAACGATTGACATCACCGGATGAGAAAATCTACCTGATATTGCAAACCGACGGTCATCTAGCAATTTTCCGTAAAGATGATCCTAATCAAGCACTGTGGAAATCGACAATCGATTCAAAATTATCGAACATTCAAGGACCATTTGTATTGAAAATGCAAGAAAATAATGACGCTGTTGTTTATGATGGAAAAAGTCAAACAATTTGGCATACTGCCACTCAGTGTCTCGATTTTCCTGGTCTGTTTCACTTAGAAATCGACGACGATGAAGGTTGTTATGTTCGCGGCCGAAAAAACGAAATTGTTTGGACATCCTATACAGGTATTCGTTGTTTTCAAGAAGGAAAAGAAGGCATGTCTGTACTTGACAAAGGACGAGATTTATATACAAATCAATGTCTCGTATCATCAAATGAAAAGGTTGCTCTCATGGTAGAATCAGACGGTCGTATTGCATTGTATAAAAGAGATAATTATGGTGAACCAACATGGCAATCGACAATTACTCCGACAGTATCAAGTATAGAAGAACCTTTTGTATTCAAAATTACTGATGATAATAATATCGCTGTCTACGATATAAAAGGGCAACTTATTTGGAAAACGAACGTGTCATGTGTGGATTGTGATAGTCGTTTAGTTCTCGAGGATGATGGTCGTCTGCTTTTACACGCGAAAGATGATGCAAATACACACATTTGGTCAATGAAAGATGGTAATATAGTACACTACAAATCAGTTTAGGAATGATTTTATCAGCTAGATGTGTGCTAATCGAAACTAAACTTTTGTTTTCATAGTGTTTTCTGTATACGCTATCAAATCTGATGAATTGTATAATAAAAAGATATCTTACGATAAAAAAAAACGGATTGTAGTTAGTGATCGGGATTGCCGAAATGTGAACGTTGATGATGACTGAACCAGAAATGAAGTGAATATTCTCTTTCTAAATGACTGAAATCTCGTCTGCTGTTGCTTAACCACCCGATCATTTCATCACTGGTAATCTTTCGATCATGCGGATAATTGAATGATACACTGGATAAATGATCCAAATTTTTAATTAGAAGGGTCATATGTTCTAATTTTTCGATTTTTAGAGTCAAGTGTTCGACGGATAGTGGGACAATAGAGGAAAGATTTGCCATATCCACATGATATTGTCCATTAACATCTAATGGTAGGACACTGAGAGAGCGCAGATGAGAAATTCGTTGAATAAATTTTGTTAAACTATCGACAACATTTGCGGCTGTCTTTTGGTTAAAATCACTTTGAAAAGATAAATTCTGAAGTTGTGAAACATTGATTAACATCGAAATAAAATGTATCGAGTCAGCGGGCCATTCTCCACGAATGCTCAGTTTTAATTCAATAACATTAGCGAAAAAGAAATCTTCTTTTCTTAGATTCTAAAGACGGAAATTCTTTACAGACATGATGTTGAATATCGTAACATACCGGTTTTGTTTTTATTTCCGATAAATTTATTGAGAGACATCGAACATGTTTCATGATGGATGAATGATTGAATTTTCTCGGAGTGGTCGATAAGAGAATCGGATCGGGATCATAATTGTATTCGCATGAGCTGGAAGGAAACGGTACAGTAAAGAGTTTGACTTTGTGCAAACTTTTGATCGATTGACATTTGACAAACCATTGTTTATCTTCCAGCCAAAATGATGAACGGAATGGTTGAATCAAGACTTCAACATCAGCATTACATTGATAGATACGGAGATGTACCTGGTAGAAAACAAAGTGAAACAAACGAAGTGATAAAAGTGTTGTTTTGATCAACATTGTCCATTTTGATCCATCGATTAAGGAATTCGGTGTTGATAGAGAATTGATGATCTTTAGTTCAATAATTGATGGTGACAGCGAAAGAAAATGTTCGAGCTGTTCAATGGATCGATTGGTGTCTTGTAGCGTCAGTGATGTCAATTGTCGATAGGATTTAGTGGGAAAACATCGATCTGTATCACTTATCCAACAATCATCCATTGTTAATATTCGCAATTGCGGACAATATCGAAGGATAATTTGGTATTCATTGAATGTGATAATTCCAACTGTGAGATGAGTGAGAGAGGATTCAGAAATATTCTTGAATATTCCTTCGATTTGATGCGCATGTGTATTGAGTGAAAACGATTGCAGATTAGATTGATTGAGTCGTTGTGAGAGAAGGCAAAGTGTTGACTTGTTTTGTTTACCTTGTGAATGGATAGAAAATGAAATCAATGAACAGGGAAGTATATCGGTGAGAATGCCATGAAGATCGGCCCAATCGATAGAACGGAATGTTAATGAGCGAAGATGAGGAAAATAATGAACTCGAAAACGAGTAAGAAATAAATCGATCTGGCCTGGCGTTGTATCTTCATTCGAGAGAATGATGGAAACGATGTTCTCGGGATAGATCAGACGACATATGATATCGAAATTTCTTTTGGATAGAGCACTAAAATCAATATGATAATGATTGAAACTGTTGGAAATCAAATAGAATGTTTTCGCCACATAGCGGACAGAGAGAAGAATTGTTTCTATGTCCAAATAAATGAGTATTTGGTATAGAATTTCAACAGGCAGTGTTGAGAGAGTTGGTGCACTTTGTGGCAACGGCATTGGAATTTTATTCGAATCATGCAATCAATATGGTTGTCGCATGTTTTCTCTTTCGTTTCTTTATTTCTCTGGCTGCCTACGATGATTTTGTTTGCTGAGAAGAAAGACCCACGCCAAAATGAATAATAAGGTAAACAATTGCTCTTGCAAATTGAGCACTTATTAAAGTATGAGGCCGAGGAAGACGAAAAACATTTAGTTACACACTCTCAGCATTGTCATTCATTGGGAATCAGCAACAACGAAAGTTCGAGAGTAAGTCGATATTATTTGTTCGAACTGGTCAAGACATTGACGATAGCGCTGCCGTATTCTCATGAGTTTACGGTTCACTTCCACGAGAAGGAAGGAAAAATATATCTATGGGAATATCTCTCTTCGCTTATCATTGGACTATTGATGAGTTGAATTATTTCCACTAACTCCATTGGTCATCTGAGAAAGAAAATGTATTAGAACACGTTCATTCCGTCGTCATCATTAAACAGCAAAACAATTGTCAAATGTCGTCTTCAGCATTTAAACAGTTTTTAGTGCACGAAGGACGTGGAAGAAATACACCGTGCGTTGTTGCGATCATTACAATAACGTGTGGACTATCTGTGTTAACTTTCATCTTTGGATTTCACGAATTATGGCAATTGAACGAAGTTATCGAAGCACAATGTCAAGTCAATTCTTCAGATGTGGGATTTTCTGGCGGAAGTCTATGGAGAGCGTTTTGGAAAGTACAAATTTTAAATGATCAAAACAAACAAATCGAAGAAGGTGAAGTTACGATTAAATCGTACAGTTCATACTTTACTGAATCAGGAGCACGCGATGCTGCTCAAAAGAGAAAAGTAAATGGACTATTGATTTCCTATGCATAAACTAGTTTCTTCTTTTCTAAACAAAACTAGGCCAATGAAATATATCCGTGCTATAAATATCGAGATCATCCACTGGGATCCATGTGGTCTTGGCGTTGGAAGAAACCATCGAAATTGAAAGCATTTCTGATCCTATCTAGTGGTCTAGTTTTGCTGATCTCGGGATGTGTGTTGTACATACTTCGAAGAGTTTACAAAGCACAAGCGACAGGACAAACCGAAATAGGAATAACAGAGCGTCTTGATTTAGAAACGTGAAATCCTTTTTTTTTGCTACAATAAAAAGAACATCAAATGAATTTGTATTACCATTTGTGAATATCGAAAAATTCTTTTTTACGTCTATGTTTTAGAATAAAATATTCACTTAGATTAGAAGAAAAAGCAGAAATTAATACGTCTATTTTAATGTCCAAAAACTTCGACGATTAAGTTTAGTACGACGAATACAAGCAGGATATTGTTCTCTGAATTCTCGTATTAGACGGTAAGGCACGTATTGACAAATGTAACCATGAGTATGCCATTGTAACGGAATCTGTTTTTTACGTAAAAACTCCACCTACAATGTCAGATCGATTTCGAGAAGGTATGTGTGTGCTTTGACTTACTACATCTAAGGTAGCATCGATATCGTCGACATCGCTTAAATGAATTATTAACGGTCCAGAATTTAGATTACAATTGTCCCATGAAAGCATGTGTACGAATTAAGGAGACTCTAAATACAAATGTGCGATAATTTTATTGACTCCTATAGAATATGCTGATTTAATTTTTGTCAGGGTAATGGCAATAGCAACGAGAAAGGTAAAACATTCAACTTTCGTTGTTAATGTGAGAACGCGACGACTGTTTTACTTTCTGCATGTGATTGTCCTCGACAAAAGTTTAGCGAAAGCACCCAATTTCAATGCATTTTATTTATTAATTTCATGTTCGACTAGTTACTCTGCTATTTTTCTTTCCAAGCATAAGATTAAAAAACAGAACGACAAATGAAAAGGGTCACATGGTTTTTTTTCTCTTTCATATCGTTTCAGTTGGTGTGCGAATGTTAGAAGAATTACTTTTTCTATTTCATGGCTGATCATAATTCAATGATGAAACAATGGCAATTCACTCGATCTGGAAAGCCTCGAGATATATTGACAATAACTGAAATACCTATTCCAACAACATGTCCGGATGACGAACTACTCATCAAAATTAGTTACGTCTCCTTGAATTCGGCGATATTACATCGACTTATGGCATACCGTGGTGTTTTTGACCCTGTTGGTGCATTCAGAAGTCGACCTAGTGTGCCTGAAAAGGATTTCAGTGGAATTGTTTGTGATTTAAGAGGTGCAAATGTGAAAGGATTTAACACAGGTCAGATCAGTTGAGATTAATTATACGTTGTTATCCTCGTATTCTATGTGTTTAGGCGATCGAGTATTCGGAATGGGTCCAACAGCATTCCGAGAAATCGGTCGAGGCGTTCTATGTGAATATGCTCTTATTAAACAAGATTCTCTAGTTAAAGTACCTGATAATATTTCAATGAAAGATGCTGCATGCTTTCCTGTCGCTGGTAGTACTATAAACCTTATGTTAACATCTTAAATCTTTGCTAATACGTATTTAAACTTTAAGGCTTTACTGCATACTGTTTTTTGATTGAAAAAGCTCAATTGAAGAAAGGAGACAAAGTATTTATCAACGGTGGATCAGGTGCAGTTGGTGTTATGGTAATTCAACTAGCACGCACCATTGTTGGACCTACCGGTCTAGTAGTGGCGACATGCACTGCAGCTAAGAGTGATGCTATTCGAAATCTAGGTGCAGATGAGGTATGCTTCCCAAAATTCTATTAACGAAGAAGTATATTTGTTTCTTTCAAAGATTATAGATTATACAGCACATGATTTACCAGCTTTTCTTCGAGAACACTATAGTTCACGTCCGTTTGATGCCATCTTTGATACTGTGGGATCCGATCATATACTCTATTCGAGTTCACCAGCATATTTGACTCCTGAAGGTCTTTTCTGCGCCATTGGATTGGTTGATTTTGGTAAGATGTTGTAAGTTATAAACCTAATCTGAACTTTCACTTTTAGGCTCCACAGTGTGGGCAGGCACGAAGAGGATTTTACAACTGTTGAGTGCAATGATGGTACCTGTCTACCTTGGAGGTGTACCTCGCAGATATATCTTCGAGCCTTTGAAAGTATCTCATGTACGAATGCTTGCTATGGCCAAATTGGTGGAAGACAAGGCTTTCAAAGCTGTAATTGACTCGACATACAAATTTGATAATGTACTCGATGCCTACGATCGATTGGTGTCTCGACAAGTGATTGGGAAAGTAGTTATTGAGGTGAACGCTGATCACGACTGAATTTCACTAAAAAATCCTAATCTTTATTTCCTGAGTCATACAAAATTTGATCTATTTTCATTGTCATTAAAAACTCGTCGGAACACGTAGATGAACGAGATTTAACTACAGGTTGCAGTATTGTGTCGTGTGCTGTTGTTTCAGAAAGAAGATTGTTAGCTCTACTCCAATTAACATGGAATTCTGGTACACAAATATACTTTTTAGAAAGATTCAATGCATTCTCATGATGTCTATACGATTTTTGATAGTTTCCATAGTCGAATTCAAGCAAACCTAGGTTGTTATGTACTATTGCTTTTTCCAGTGGATGTCCATGTTCTTTTAACGATTGTTCAAACGAACTACGAGCATTTCTACAATCACCGTTCTTGTAATACAATAAGCCTAAACTGTTCCAGATACGTAAACGCGTGGGTCGTATATTATGATGGTATATTAGATCATTCAGGGTTTTCGAATTCACATCTTTTTCTGATTCACTGGAAATAAGTTCTACTGCTAGTCTAAAGCTTTTCAGCGCGTCACTGTATCTACCCTGTTCAGCTGCTAATGTCCCAATGTTATAATATATATGTCCGCGAATTTCACCTGAAAGATCGGGTCTATCGAGCATACGATAGTAATGATTCTCAGCATTGATTTTATCGCCCAGTTCTCGTAACACGTTTCCTAGTGACAGAAATGTGGGACCATTCGTCAGACGTTGGTCGATCTCTTCGAGTTCAGTGTCGATCTGATCGCAGAAGGTAAGTTTGACTTCCCGAACGGGGCCATCTATGACGTCATCAATTTTCCACACAGAACCAACAGAAAAAAGAATTTCTCTTTCCTGTGGATGTTTACTTTCATTTGTAATATCGGCGTATTTCATCTTTGTCTTTGTCGTACTGTCAATTGTCATCGTAAACATAACACTTTCATATCCAGGAATGTCCGTATCTGCACCAGTATAATCCGCACTGACTATGCAGCTTTTCGACGTCGAAAGGAAGCTATTAATGGATATTAAACTCCCACGGCTATCATTCAACTGCTGCAATACAGCAGTCGGTAGTTTTTTGCCATGAAAAACCAACTTTTCCGTCAACGAAGTACTTGATTTTTCCACATATGTAGTCAACCGTTGGTCCAGATGAGATATGTAATAACGACATGTGAAAATTCGATTAAAATCTTCGGATCGAAGTGCCTGGTTGATCAGAGAATAGAGAAATTGATGTTCGGTGTAATATTTCACCGTGTGATTAACATCGTAGTTTGCTTGGAACTTATCGATCGATTTTAATTGAGTGGGATATGACTTGTATTCGTTCCGAAAGTAACTGCACATTTCGTCCAGAGCGGACGCATCATGTTCCATCTCAAAGAGAATTTGATAAATTAAACGAAAGAGAACGAATCTCAAGCAGTTCTTGTTTAAAAACTGACACCAGACTTGTTTATTAGTTAGATTAAATAGTTCAAATGCAGGAAACAGATCAAGTATGGTATCAGCAGCATCGTTCGGTACTTGATAACCAAAATCCGTGTCTTTGAGTACTTGCGTTAAATCCGTGTAAACATGTTTATATAAATCATCTATATTATTGCATACTGTCCAACCTTCTGTGCCACTGGGCACACCATCAGTGTCTAACTTTAATTCATAGATGTAACTGTCTTTGAATCGCTGTTGTGCTGTAACAAAACTACATAAATTCTCAGCGTCTTCGCCGGAACTGATAAAGAAAATTTTCTCTAGACTTGTATGAGATAGAAACTCTGTTACTTCGTCCCTTTCCGTGTAAGTCTGCAGACGAAGAAATGTTTCGTTCAGGTTAAACTGTAAATCATCACGTAGGTCTTTCGAAATACTCTTATTATAAAACCATACACACTGACACTGCTGATTTTTCAGCGGCACTCTCGGTTGTGATCTGATACTAAAAGTAGATGAGATGATGTTCGTACAAAAAAAATTGAATGAAAAATACTTGACAAACGATTGAAATGTAGACATCGCTTCATGCAATTGTCGGACGTGAGTGCGTTCTTCTTGCGGTGACATGTTGAAGTTTTGACTATCTGAAGAAGATAAACTGGTGAAATTTTACAGATCAATGTATTAGTTTACTGTTGTTAGGTTAATAAATCAATTTTTATATATTTCGAAAAAAAAAAAACATTGGATTACTCCTTAGTTTCGAGTTCATCGAGCACCTTCCAGTAGTCCTCGATCGTTGACATGTCCAGATGCTTACGAGTCTCGAAATAAAGTTGATCCTTGAAAGGTTGTATATTGTAATTATTATATTCGATTTTGATGTGCCAGATAAGATCACATGTTTGCTTAATTGAATTCAATCGGAATATAGTGCCGAGAGGAAAAATAAAAACATCTGGATGTGATGGACTTTGCGTGATTGTTGTTCCTTTAGTTAGCTGTATTTCCCATAGGGCCGCATCGAGACCGTTGTCAACTGCTCTGCGACATAGTTGGACTGCAGATGAATAAGATCTTGATGCTGTAAGACAAGCGTAGAATTGTAGAAAGCAATTATAATTTTTACGAATCATATTCATGTCTGTGTTAGATGTGAGTTGAGTAACATAAACTGTAATCGACGAACGTATTTGATTTGATGACAAAGGTTCGAGGGTGTTGTAAATGTATGATAGCTCAGATTTCAACTTGTGAAAATAGTGGATTCTTTGAGCAAGTTCGGTGTTAATATATTCAGGCACGTTTGAATCTGTATTTGTCGAAGGCAATAAACGGGATAATACATCAATGACCAGTTGAGAACGAATAAATTCTTTGTCACTTGGAATCAGATGCGCGAGAACTTCCGAATCAGCTCGAAGTGCATCCATTTTCACAGTATTGGCAAGAGTTTGACGATAGAAACAGATATCATTCGTAAGTTGTACGAGAAGCTCCCTATGTGAAACAAATACTCCACTTACTTTCGAGCTTTCATACAATGAGCCAATGTTCTGCATGTCTCGCCATTGCCCACAAGCAAAGATGTATGTAGCATGTACCGACTGATGATTTACCAATTGTAGGACATGTGGTAAATCCGTAGTACAGTCAATACATATAACTAAGAAGACTGACGATATGTCATATTTATCAACAAACTCGGTACATTGATGCACATTGTTAAATACACGAAATTGCGCGTTCTCATGAGAAAAATGGAATTTTTCGTGATCGTGACTGTTACAGTATAGCGTAACAATGTTAGGGATGTTATAACATTTTTCATCTTGACCGACTGGAAGTGATGTAATATGATAGGACAGAGTTTGCGGCCTTAAGTTGCTTAACAAGTTCGGCGATCTTGTCCATCGCGAGCATTTGGTCATGAGATGCTCTATATCTTGTTTCAACTGTTGTTGAATTGCATCTGTAGACGGCCAAGAATCGACAATTTTGCTGTAACTGTCCATCCAAAGCGAATTTCGACTGACGTTTTGAGCATCATGTATATAAATACGTTCGATATTCACACAGGAATGAACTAATGGTAGAACGATTCTTCCTCTACTAGCAGATATAACGAAATAGATCAGTTTCTTTTCTTCGGTATTTTTGTTGATTGATAGTAATCGAGAAGTACATTTCAGGTCGTCGGTAAACAGTTCGACGTTAATACGCACATCATTGATCGGTTGTTTAAGTGACAAACTTACATCTAGACAGATAATGGATATATCTATATTTCGTTTTAACTTGATAGTTTCTTCACTTGTAACTAAAGAGTCAATGATGATAATAATCATGATTAATTAGAATCTTACTTGAGTCGGTGATAGGTTGTGTGTCATTGATAAGTGTAAGACCACTAAGATCGGCGCAGTAAGAGCATACTGAATGAACTGAGATTCTATTGGTACGACTCTCATCCTAAAACGTGTGGGACAGCGTACAAAACTGATGGAGCGTCGTTTTGTATACATTACTTTCAGCACTTGAACGTGTTCTGCCGGCGAAAATAATGATACGTCGTGTTCCATATAATCATTGGTCGATGCTTCGACAGTGCAGCTCTAAAGAATAAATTATTCATAGTTATAAAAGATAACATTACATTTACTTCGATAGATTGCAGCAGTGGTGGTATTTCTGAGGTGTCCGAAATTGATTCCTAACGAAACACATCTCGCAAGACCATCAAAGATTTCACAATCAAAAAGAAAACATACCATACTTGAATACGTGTTGTATGGAATGCTATTCGTTGTTGGAGTGTTTATAGTACCTGAAAATATGTTATTAATTAAGACAAGAAAGAGAAACAATGGGCGACTATTAAAAGAAGACACTGGCAGTCTAAAGTTATGACTTATGCTCATATGATTATACGTACTTCTTCTATTATTTAATGAATAACGGTGTCGTTTGTTTGATTCAGATAGCAACACGAAAAATATAAGCGACGAAAAAATCATGGTGCATCCAGTCATGAATATTGTTATGATTACAGAGTTAATCCATGATTTTGCATTTCTGTCATACGAATTTGACGGATAATTTGTTACAAACCATTTGTTTTTCAATCCATCAAGTATACCTAATTTTTTCAAAGATGCTAGACTGACACTTAGATCTTGTTCGTATAGCCATCCTTTTGGATAAACAATACCAAATGCACTGTGATCAAAAGCTGGTCCAGCGAGTGTCAGATTACGATAGAGCGTGTTTGTTGAGTATTCTAAAACTCCCGAATCCATAATAGCCGCATCGATTGTATTGCTCAATAACTTGTTATACATATCGTCCTTTGATTGCAGTGGATAAAAATTATGATTTCCTCCGGAAATTTCTCGTAAATAATAGTCTTCGATAGATGAATTGGCAATAATACCCACACGATCCGATGAAATTTTACCTTTTTTGATGTCATCTATGCCAGATATCAGAACTTCAGATTTTGGAGTGGCCAACTCAACTATTAATCTAGCAGTGAAGCATGCAAACGAAATAATACTTAACATGTAAAGGAAACAAGTGATTAAGGAACTAATAGATCTCGCAATAGGTTCGTAACGGGTATTGATTTTCAATGGAGAATCAATGTATGGGAAAATCCAGCCTTTTCCCTCAAAAACGTTCAATAGCATAGTAGTCAATATCAACAGTCCAACGTAGCATAATGTTCTTTGTGCCCACGTGAGTAATGACGTGCTTGAAGAAGAACGTAAATAACTACTCGATGAGTTTCTGATAATGACACGTAACGAACCATCGTATATTGAACTCGAGAATGCGATTCTCTTCTGTCGTGTTGCGATAATGGTAATATCACCCACGATCATATCATACGTATTATTCGCCACCGCTTCTATCAGCTCATCGTAAGTTCGATTGGACGATAGCACAGTAGTATTCGATTTAAATTTCATTTGTTTCTGCAAATGGTCAATAAGATCGGGTGCATAGCCACTTAATTTAGTCTTCTTTCCTCCGTGTTCATCTTTTGTTTCTTCTATAATTGTCAAAGGAGGTATTTCAATGACAGCAATTCGCAGAGTTGCATTGGTCGCAAGCGCATAACCTATAGGTGCAACCAACGACCTTCCTGGCCATATTATTGTGTTTAATTCTGTATGCGATACCCAATTATTCGTCTCCGACCAAACCAATACCGGCACATAGTTCAAACCGTTCGAAAAACTTTGAATATTTTTCGCAATGTAGTAGCTACCGTTGACCCGATCGGTTAGATTAGCCTTGAATTCTACAGGGCCAGATACTCCAAGAAAAGTAGTGTTATTTATGATGTCAAACAACAAATCAGCACTGAGGAAACGTCGATGGAAGCATAAAGGAGTTTCCAAGAATGACGTACACGATGCATTTTTTAGACAAAGTTCTCTCAACGACAGAATCAGTGACCAAGTTGCGTCGAATGAAAACAGTGCGTAGTAATTTACATTACCTGGTCCGGGAAACGTTTCAGGTTCATATTGCTGCCAAATGGCATACGCTTCGCGTAATAACGTCGCATTAAATGGAGCATTGATAACATTCCCTACAACCGGTTCTATCGTAAACATTCCAGTCAATCGATCGTAAACTGATGAATTGAAAATATTCAATGGGATATTGGAGCCCAGAATCCATGTAAAGCGTGGACCTAGAACATCACAATCAAGCGCTTGTTGTAAAACCAAAGCTGCATAGTTTTCCTCAACCCACAAGATGACAATTCGCGTTGATCTGCTATTTAGAAGAGTTTTCAAATCGTCGCCAATTGTGCGAGTGACAATATCAAAGATGATCATTCCAGTGACGTTTAGACCATGCCTGTCAAATGTTTCACTTATCGACTTCGCTCCACCGGATCCGAATGCGTCGTTCTGATAGATAATTGTGCATGAAGTCCAATTGTATTTGAGAAACAATTTTGTAATCGCTAAGGCAGCTGCATTATCCGAAGGAACCGTGCGATAGAAACTTCGATATATCTGTCGATCCGACAGATCAGGATCAGTAGCAGCATGAGATATCATGGGAATATCGAGTTTTTCAGCGAAAGGAGCAATATAATGTGACTCGCGGGAAAACGTTGGTCCGACAATTCCGATAATATTCGACGAAGATGTTAGTAAACATGTTTTGCTCAGAGTATTTGCGACATTCTCTTCGCTGTCCATCACTTGCCAGCCCAAGAATTGTCCGCCGATCGTTATGTTATATCGATGAGAAAGTAAGATTGCTGATATGAACATGGCACGAGACTGAAGAGATCTTAGGATTAGTTCTGTTGTGCTCACCTTACTACAGAATGTGCCAAGTATTTGCACTTTAGAAGAATTCATCGAAGGCCAAATGGCGCCGATATACACCGCATGGAAAGTCCCGACGAAGACGTATATCCAGAACCTTGTAAACATTCGCGTTGACGTTTTAAATGCTTATTCGCATTCAATTTAGGAATAATCTAAAAATAACAAAATCAATATGGATCCACACATCACCAGGCTCACAACACGTTAAATATTGAACGTTCGATCCTCGTTAACAGAAATTTCAAAATACTATATCGACGCTTGCTTGTTGTATATACCCCTCTGTTTTTTTAATTCATATATTAATGAATATATTCATACCTAATTAAAGTCTATTAATGGTGCATAGAGTCATAGGTAGCAATAGACGCAGAAACGAAAAAGTAATTGCTACTAAAATACGATATATGTCTCTTTTTTGTCTCCTCTGCGCGAAATTACCTAACCAACAAAAAAGAAACCTACTCGTTCTTCTCTTCCTCTTTTCATGTTGAAAATTTGACTCTGATGATCGTTAGATAGCTTTTTCTACCTGTATCTTGGTTTTTTTCATTTTCTTATTAATCGATAGCAGATATCCAAAGTGTATTCCGTATGAGATAAATCAAACAAATATGACGACGAAAACATAGTTTGGACCTCTCATTGAAAATAATAAAATCTTTATCAAGGGAATTGATTCGCGTTTTGCATTGTGTTTCACACTTCAGTTGGCAATCGATGTAACTTGGATATAACTGCGAACAAAGTTCTCAACTGTTCTTGTACAGTACTGACTATTTGCGAGAACTTTTTGTTTACTTAGATTATATGAAGGAGTCGTGTATCTTCAATTCACGCATTTCTCAGCCAAATCTGTTTATTTGAATCTCGATATGGTAAATGCGTCATAAGATCAACCATGCATTTCCTATCCATAATCACTGTAATCTTTTCATGGATAGGTAAGACAGCTTATAATTACCAGTCGTCGTAAAAAAGCACGTGTTTTTATCTCTCACTTAACTCGCATGCATGTGTTAGCTGAGAAAAATAAGCGTACAATATACGAGTATTTGTATGTTTCTTCTAATCGTCCGTTTCATCCATATAGTGCTCAATACAGGAAAACGTCAAAATATCGATGGAGAACATAAATAATGTAGTTTCTGTGGCAACTGATGAGAATTTGGAAACATTTTCTCTCGCCTGGCTCGATGAAGAAGTCGATTCAACAGAAGAGAACAAACAAATTCAGCAACAGCTTCAACAAATCATCAATCATCTCAAAACATTTCATGATCGACAGCAATGTCATGATTATATTACTTCACTTTTCCCACACGATCGACTTGTTCTCATCGTCAGTAGCCGGTGCGGTCAAGAACTAGTTCCTCAAATTCATTCGCTTCGACAAGTCTCTGCAATTTACGTTTATTTTATAGATGGACAGGCAAACGAGCAATGGACAAAGCGCTTTATCAAGGTACAACATACATCTCGTTTACTTGTCAAAATTATTCTTGTCTGACATTTTCTAGGTGCAAAAAGTGGCTACACAAGTCAAAGATTTAATCGATCACATCAAAACGAATCAGAACAACCAAACAAAAGCAGACGAACCACTTTCAATCAACATCTTCAATTCAACTGGTACGTCCGATCAGTCCACAACTGAAATCAATGGTCATTTTCTTCATTCACTTCTTCTCATCGATGTTCTTCTTCGAATCAAACCAAATGACAAAGATAAACATCAGCTCATCACACTTTGCAGAGAGCACTTCCATGTCAATGACCATGAACTCGGTCTTGTACGTGAATTCGAGCAAGAATATTCAAGTGACAAGGCACTGTGGTGGTATACGCGTCAATCGTTTGTGTACAAAATGGTGAACAAGGCACTGCGAGTACAAAACGTTGAAGTTCTGTTTTTATTTCGTTTTATGATCAACGACATTTATCAGCAACTGAAGCGGCATCAATGTACATCAGCGGTTCATGTTTATCGAGGTCAGATGATGTCACGTGATGAATTAGAAATTATACAACGAGCCGATGGTAAACTTATATCGATCAACTCGTTTTTCTCAACTAGTCTTAATCGACAGAAAGCATCAGCATTTCTCCATAGGTCGAGTGATTTACATCGTGTGCTGTTTGATATTCATGCTGATCCAGGCGTAGTGATGTCAAAACCATTTGCTGAAATTCAAAAATTAAGTATTTCTATGTACGAAGAAGAGGTATTGTTCATGACCGGATGCATCTTTCGCCTAAATAAGATTTGGCGAGATGACGACAAAAACATGTGGGTGATTGAAATGCAACTATGCGGTGACAGTGAACATGGTTTGAAAGCACTGTTTGATTACAATAAGGAGGAGTATGGAGGTGGTGATGGTGAAGTCGATCTTCGTTCTTTTGGTGTCGTGTTGCGTATGATGGGAAAGATTGTGTTAGCAGCGAAGATGTTGCAGCGTCATCTGAATGAACTTCCACCAAATGATCCATCACTTCAACGTGTATACTGGTCATTTGGTATGATCATGAAGAAGAAGGGTGATTATGACGCTAGTCTAATATTGTTCAAGAAATCATTGGAAATCTATTTGAAAACCAACTCATCTGATTATGTCATCATAGGTGCTTTGTATAATTGCATTGGCACGGCGAATTGGAAAAAGAAAGATAATGAAAGAGCATTGGAATATTATAAGAAAGCAATCGCACTGTTTGAGGAAGCACACGCTGCGGATCATTCACACATGGCTGTTTTCTACGACAACATTGGTATAACCTATAAGGATCAGAAGAAGTATTCGGAAGCTCTCGATTGCTATAAAAAGTCATTAGATATAAAAAAGAAATGTCTACCAGATGAGCATTCACGCATGGCCAAATCATATAATAATATAGGATGTGTGTATTCTGACCTCAGACAATATGACCTTGCGATGGAGCAGTTTACTCTAGCACTCAAGATTCAGAAGCAATCCCTACCTCGTGAACATCTAGATATCGCCAAGAGCTACAACAGCATCGGTGTAATACATGAGAAGAAGGGTGAATGGCGAGAAGCACTGGCTAACTATGAAACGGTTGCCAAAATCTATCGTAGTTCGTTATCACCTCAACATCCATATGTGATCGAAGTCAACGAAGACATTCGACGTGTGTCATCAAAACTAAAATGACATAGTATTGACGATATGCTTAAATTTTAGTAATGAAGTCAAAAGGACAAGATTAGCTATTCGAACTAGTTTAAATATGGATTCAAACTAAGAACCGCGGTACAAAAACACTTGATTAACCTTCGTGTTTTTTTCTTGAATAGAAGCAAATAAAATGATGATGAATGTACAATACTACAGAAGTAATCTCTCAATTGCGATTGATTTGAAGACGAGTAGTATAGAAAATCCTTAAATAACGACTCAACACAATTTCCAAATGATGTTTGACATTGTAATCGCAAAATTTTCTCGAAGAAAAATTAGTCGATCGCTATTTTTATTCGATATTGTGATAGTTCAAAACAAAATATTGATGAAAAGCTAAATTCTTATACAGTGGAGCAATGGCAGACTCAAACAAATGTCAATGACAACGGGAAGATTATCATCGATTAGTGTTGCTTTGTCCTCGACGCAGCTGATGATTGAGGTTTTGCATTAGATGTAAGACTGAGTGGTGTAAATACACCATTTTTCATTAAACTTGCTCTTCCTAACCAACAATAATCGGTTCCATTTGGGCCATGTATTTGAACACCCGTAAATAAAGCGTATTGACGATTTTTAAAATGCGCGGCGTCGTCTCGAACATGTTTTTCTAAATCTGAAGTAATGGTTTGATAAGCAGCCATAGTCACTGCCAGCAAATCTGGCACCTTCTTCGGATCAGCCAGTAGGTCCGTTTGCTTAGCAATATGTTTTTTTAACATGCTCATTTCGATATCAGCTTCATCGAAATGCAAATTCAACTTATTTGAAGCAATTTCACTCGCAAACGCGGCAAGAGCACCGCATGCTGTGGTCTTCTCATGCATACCGCTACGTGTTCTGTAAACCGAACCAATATTTCCTTCGTGATCGATAGCAATATGTGTAAAACAATAGTAAATAAAACGACCATCTTCGGGTGCATGATGATGTGCAGCTGCAAAGCCCGTTTTCCCGCAGAACAGCATACCACCCAACGAACCGCAGATGAATCCTTGTCCCCACATTGACTCAACTTCTTCTTCGAATGGACTAGTAATTTCATCGCGACATAATCCAACACAAACCAATGTATTAACATGAGGATAAAAACCTTTGGGTACTAGAGTTTGCTTCGTTTCAAAGACAAATTCTTCCAATCCATAAGCGTTTGGAAAGTGTTTCTGTAATGTAGTTTGGAAACGATCTTCAGTACGACTTCGACTCGTGTTCAAACTTTGATGACATTGAGAACAGATGCCATTTGTAGACGATTGATCTGTTACAGGAATCAGTGGACGACCATTTCGTGCAGAAGTCATCACATGATGGTCGTTCTGTGTTTGGGAAGAATGGAAACTCATCTTGTATTGAATTCTATGAAGTCCGTTGGTTAATTTACCAGCTTGAGCAGAACTGAATATTGTCGTCTAAAAAAAAATACGAACATTTATATGGCATTATGACACAAGATAAATATGCAAAAATACTTTTCTCTTAATTTTTACTCCAGCCTATAACAGCGGTTGTCATAACAGGGCGATCACCGAAAAAAAAAGAGAAAGGCCGTGGTTGTGTTTGTGTTAACTACCGATCAGTCAAAAACATTCGAACAACAAGCGAAGCAAAGGAAGAAAATTGAAAAAATCTCGTCGAATAAATGTATGCTGGTAAATACAGTTTGCCGATTAGGCACATAGAAAGCGTCTCTAACATGCAAATCGAGATGCCGAAAGTATGTACAAAATGTCATGCAAATTCAGCGATGCGGAATATGAACTCTGATTCAATACGTAAATTTTCCCGTTGTGTTTGGAAAAGAACTGAGTACTTTCATTCACCCGATAGTTAAAAGTGCGTTACTATGCCATTGTGCATAGCAAATGAATGCAAAGAAATGTATTTCGGTCGAGCTTTTCTTCTCTGTTTATGTGTTTACCGATGAATTTCATGAAAGGAATTTAACGCGGCCGACCACGTTGCAATCATTTCAAATCAAATCGTGCGAGTTATTTCAAAAGAAAAACGCATACGCATAACATCAAACAACTGAAGGAAAGAATTGCAAGTGAATTCTAAAGTGGATTCGTGTGTTGTCCACCTGCGAAAAGACTCTATACTAACTAAGGATTACACATTCATATACAATTACAATCTCTCCCGATACACTCGAAAATATTCATGAAAGTTAAAATGTTGTTCAGATAACCATTTTTCGTGTCGAACTTTAATTTATATTCTCCGTACACTTTGAAAGAAAATTAATCTCGGTGTTTTTCAAATACCATTGACAGATTTTAAATGTAGATAGATGACATGACTGCGACATTCAACAAGATTACATTCATTAAACAGAGTTCTAAGATGTTCGTCGATTTTTAATAGTACATTTTCATCATAAACATAATATGAGTCTGCTTTCACTGCAAGATTAGCTCTTTCTTCTTAATTAAAATTCACATGACAGAACTCATCTTCACGATAAATAATCTGTCGTTGTCATTTTTCACTGCAAACAAAAACACGTAGATTCTATCAGGCCAATGGACTCATCATTATTAACAACGGTAGCTATTCTTAATAATATTCGTCTATGTATATTCTACATTTATTTTTTCGCCATTGTGTTCGGAATCATTGGTCATATTATCAATATTCTTGTTCTCACTCAATTGAAACTATTTCGTGATAACCGATGGGCTTTTTATTTAATCATCGAATCGGTTGTCGATATTCTCTATAATTTAGTCATGTTTACTAGTAATTTATTACAAATTATTTATACAATCGATCCTCAAAGTACTGTTCTTGTCTGGTGTCGATCACGACTGATTTTATTTCAAACGTGTACACTTATATCATCATTTACGGTATGTTATGCTGCATGCGATCAGTTTTTCTCAACAAGTTACCGACTGAATTTACGACGAATGTTTACATTTAAACTTGCTCGATATGTACTTTTGATTAGCTCGTGTATATGGCTTTTACATAGTATTATGTTCGGTCTTTTTTTTAATATAAATTCATCGCTCGGATGTGTGATAACAAATCCAGTATTTCTACATTATTCAACATGGTTCTTTTATCCAGTTTTGTATGGCCCTCTACAAATTGCCATTGCGGCATTATCAAGTTTATCAGCTTTTCAAAATGTTCGTCGAATTGTCCGTCAACAAGTGCCAATCATTCGCCGACGACTTGATCAACAAATGACAGCGATGATTTTAGTACGAGCCTTGTTTTACATTATATGCTCCTTACCTTATTCGATCTATCGTATGATTATTATCAATAAGCCTAATCCACAAACTGATGTCTTACAGTACGCAACTCGTCAATTACTATTTGCCATATTTACCTGTTGGACTGGTCTCAATTTTACGGTACAGTTTCATATTCAATGCTAAACTTCATTTGCCTACTTTAGATCAGTTTCTATATCTTTTTCGTCACCTCCGCACGATATCGCAGTCAAGTCAAGTATCTCCTAGTGAAAAAATACTGGCGACGAGTAAAACATTTGTGTTCGAGCAATCGAAATCAAGTTGTTCCAAATAATGCACCATCGAGTAATTCGAGTATGGAACTCGAGTGAAACCTATCTATTAGTTCATATGTTAATAAATGTTTAACGAATCATTAGCCGTTGTTCTCATGAAGCATATTCAGATTAAATCTATGAACATTTGAAACGTGTAATCTGATATCAAAAGAAGAAGATTATTATGGAAAATATATGCGTATTTATAATTAAAAAATGAAAAACAACGTTTTAGCCTGTCAAGTTCTGAGAACTGTCTATTTCATTTACAATTGAATTGACCTTTCGTTCGACACAGATCAAGTTTGAAATAGGACATAGAAAATAGATTGAAAGAGTAGAATTTTAGTTAGACTTTTTAATAGTCACACTGGCATAAGAAGATACAGTACGATTTTCATTCCATTTGAACGATGGATCGGTTTTGGCTATGTTACTAATGATATCTTTGGAAACAGCATCTAACGCATGAATCCTTACATCGACACGAGCAACTGCGACAGATTCTAATAGTTTCGCCCAACGTGCTCGATCGAAATAATCCAGATAATCTTCATAATGATTTGTGAAAACATACACAGAATAATCCACATCTAAATGACGAAGACAGCCATCCGTAGCATTACAAATAAGTTCCAGTCGTTGAAATGTCAAATTACAAATGGATAGTTTCAATCGTGACAATGCAGGAAAAGACAAAGATTGAATTGGAGAAGACATATCTGTTTGATCAAAAATATATCCTTGTGTTTGATATTGGACGCTGAGAGATTGTAATCCACGAAAATATGGAATAATATCAAAGAGAACCTTCCGATCAATGTTATCGATCCGGAGATTTCGTATTGAGTGATTCAATGGTAAATCAAGGATGTATTGTCGGTCGAAAGTGGTTTCCCGTAAATTCCAAAGACTCAGTGAGCAATCACGTAAGGTTCGATGTTGCAGAATAGTTGTGAATAACTCACCAATAGAGTTACTAAGTGATTTGTCTATAAAATTTCCCTTACAATTCAGATTGAGAACTTCTAATCTATGTAATTGAGGTAATGCTTTGCAAAAGCGAAAAAGCTTCGACTTTGCTTGCTTTGCGCGAATATAAACATTCAAGACACGCATATTGATCAGACGCGATGCGTAATTTTGAAGAAATGGTATGATGCAACCACTTCTCTTAGTTTCATACGTGTCCAATACGTGAATCCATTCTATCTTCAGCGCACTGGACTTTTCAAAATTCTGGACGGAATGACATGCAGGAGCAAACCCTATTCGCACTCGAAAGATGGTTGGAAGTTGAGGAGAACTCAGAATCGATTCGAAGAATGAATTCAGTCTGCCAAATGCCAAAGCTATATGTTTGCATGTGAGATATTGGAAGATTTCTAGCCATAATTCCACGGGAAATGTTTCAATGCACGTGCACATTTTCGTCATGTTTATGCTGATTGGTCGTGAATATTCCGCTATATATGCGTATGTTTTCAATGATGTAATCATCTTTCCTAATAAAATACGCGATTGCGTCATTCAGTGATAGGCTGGATTTTTCATTTATATCTCCGGACATGAAACTAAAACGATTGGCGACAATATATGAATTTGTTGATTTACATGTGACACGTTCTCCTCATCAGCAAATACCTGCCCTTCGATGACTCATGTCTGTTTTCATATGTGTCATTTCACATTACACAACTTTGAAATGTCGACTACGTGGTTTGATCGTTTACCAGCGGAAATTATTTTCCAAATATTTCGTTACTTGTCAACGAATGATATTGTTTACACATTCACTCATGTCAATGAACGGTTCTATCGTCTCCTGATCGCAAATTCGCAGGATTATCTCAAAATCTGCTTACCGAAACATAATTTTCAAGAATGGGCTGCGATTTGCTCAGATATCGGTTCACATGTCGACTCACTAATAATCGATACATCTGAGATTCCGTTTTCACTATCATACTTTTCCAATTTGAAGCGTCTATCCATATCATGCACATTATCGAATGATCAATGGAAGTTAATTATTGATAGTCAACAGTTCAATCAACTTAAATCATTCAAACTAATCAAACCGCGATTCATTGACTACGATAATGAGCGTGATATGAAAATAAATCATATCTGCATGCTTTCACAATTCTGGAATGGTGACAACTCATTGGAGGCTATTGACTATTCACCAGTTATCATTCAGTTTCCGTTATTGATTAGACATCGATTTCGAACGAATGAAAGTTTACATTCCTTAAGAATAGCACTAAACGTTTTTACTGATATATTCACATTATTACCATTTACACCGAATTTAGCCTACTTAAATCTTCAAACATATCCACCGATCCAATTTAAGACGAATGCGGAAGAGTTGAAACTGAAATTAAAAGAATTTCATCTAAAATTCTACAATGAATCAGGTCGAATGATTTATTTCGATCGTCTCCTTGATGTGATAAACCAAATATCATCGACATTAGTTTGTTTATCGTTAAATTTAAGTGAATCATTTCTTGACTGTGGAACTGACTCCGTACCATTCGATCATCTGAAATTAAAGCAATATATGGAAACAATGAATAAATTGAGCGAATTCCATATGTACGCTAAGTTACAACCTAACCAAACAAAACAAAACCAACGAATCCTTCTTGATTTGAAAAAACAACAAATGTTGTCGGACCGAAATGTATTCTTTGGAGTACATAATAATTATTTCTATACATTACCATTCTATTTTGATTATCTTCATGAGATTGATTCGAATTTTCATGAAAATCTACAAAATCCTGGCGAATCATGGCACAATGTACGATACGTTCATTTAAATTTTACATTGCACTACGATGAGCATATTATAAGCGTCTTAAAGTCTAAAATGCCGAAATTAATGGCGATTTTGTGGCGAAAGGAGTACCAATCAAATCGGCCTTATGACGAGATGAGAAATATGATGGCCAATTATATTCGAATCTTTCATTCTAATCACCAAGATTTTTCGAGTGACTCGAAGAAAGATTGGTATGCGTTCAGATTGAATACTCCTTTACACTTGTATCTACAAAATGAAGAGGTGTCTCTTGCTATTAAGAAAGTAATGACACAGGGCAATTGTGTCACACATAATGGGCTTGTGAGGTTAAGCAAAATCAATCGGTTTCATCTGTCATATTTTTCTCATGTGGACTTTTCCGTGGATAGACATGGCGCATCGCTAGAGTGGTATGCGGATATCCTTACGAAGATAGTGCAAACTTTTCAACATCTAGAAACGATAAAAGTATTCGTGGATGATCAATCGAGCGCTAATGAGCTGATTGAAAATTTGCATATGAATCATGGAAGTTTTCGAAACTTTGTGCTTAAGCGCTACTCAGAATCTTTTTTATTGAAGAAAATAAATTAACAGGCATGCTGAAGCTATAAGGTGTATACTCTCTTGTTTTGTTTGCTCGCGAACACTAGTGATAAAGTCTTTATCTATATTCTCTAGGCGTCATATCATAATTTAAGGCTTTACAATGACCAGCCTGTCTCCATGTCTATTAATATTTCAAATCGTACTATTAGCAAAGAACCTTCAAGGATTGTCAGTATGTGCTTCACCGCGACCGCAGCATATTCGCATTGATCACCACGATGTTGACACACATCCTGATCTTGTTGTTGAAACACCCATCTTTTCCTGGACTATCGATGATGAAGAACATCTTTGCAATGGTACATTGATACGTGGGATTTATCAAACTGCATATCAGATTACTATAACTCAATTAAATAGTTTCTATTTACCCGAAGAAGGCTCTCAACTAGTCTATGATTCAGATCGTGTCAGTTCGAACGTAGCCATTAACATTCTTTGCACTAATCTAACGTTAACATCAGACACCCGCTATAGATATTCAATTCAATATTGGTCGTCGACGGGTGCAGTTAGTCAACTTGTAACAGGACGATTTCGAACGCCGTTATTCAATCCGAAATATGAATTCACGGCCAATTGGATTGGTTCACGTCAAATTAATATGAATGAATTGCGACGGGAGTTCTATATTTCACAAGATATACTCTCGGCCACTGTATTCATGAGCGGTATGGGTTACGGCGTTTTGTACGTTAATGGTATCAACGTAGATCCGTCACGTCGATTTGATCCTGGTTGGACGACATATACACAGCGTGTCCTTTATGTTTCTTATGACATAACTAAATTTCTTCAAAGTCGAACCCTCAATTGCGTTGGTGTACAATTAGGACTTGGATTCTACACTCACGAACAATGGGGCGGCGGAGTACCTGCGCCGGCACCAGAAGTATTTGGTCCACCGGCACGATTACTTATACAATTGAATCTGATGTTCACTGATCGTTCGACAATGAATATTAGTGGTGATACAACATGGCTTGGCCGAGAAGGTGCACACCGTAAAGATAGCATCTACATGGGAACATTCTATGATAGTCGTGCTGAACGTTATAATTGGTCTACACCTGGTTTTGTTGATCCCTATAGTTTATGGTTGAATGCCTCTTTCATCGAATCGCCATTATCATCAGCAACCGGACAGTTGACATATCAATCGATGGATCCGATACGAATTAGCCCGTATGCACTACACATTGCTACATCTGCAGTTCGAACAAGTCACAAATCAATGCCACCAGGTGTCATTGGAGGCAATATCGTGGATGGCGGTGTCTTCAATGCAACAGCAATTCCAAATCAACAAGTACCAACGTATGATGTTTCACAGAATATTGCCGGCTATTGTACGCTAACTATTAGTGGCAGAAAAGGAATGTCTGTAGCTACACGACATGCCGAACTATTGAATGCGCCTGGCACAAATGGCATCCAATATCAAGGACTCAATCAAGCTAACTATCAAATCATTACTGCTTCGGACGATTTTATTATTCAGGGCACGCCACACGAAGTGTTAACACCGCTTTTTACGTACCATGGTTTTCGTTACATCTCGATATTTGCTAATTATATCAATATCGAATCAGTCGTATGCGCAGCAATTCATAGTGAAACGAAACTGATCGGTAATTTTACTTCGTCCTCACTGACACTCAATCAGATTCAACATAATATACTCTGGTCACAAATGAGCAACATTATGTCGATCGTAACCGACTGTAGTCAAAGACAAGAACGACGAGGATGGTTAGGTGACGCAGCATTATCAGTCGACGTTGCACTATTTAACTTTGATTTATATGGTTTGTACGTAAATACTTTGCAGAATATCGCCGATGTCCAACACGATGATGGATCTATTCCTGATACTGCACCATACTCCGTTGGCGGATACGTGGCAGATCCATCATGGGCGCATGCTTACCCAGAAATTGCTTGGCGTCTGTATCAGCATTACAATGATACTGTTGCTGTTAAAAAACATTACCTTGGAATTCAAAGATGGGTAGATTATTTAACGAATCGAGCACAAAAAAGTGGCCTAGGCAATATGTACTTTGCATACGGAGATTGGGAAACACCGGTTCATTATCCAGTGACGAATAGTTCTTTGGTTTCAGCATTTTCCTATTTAAGTGATGTACAAACAATGATTACGCTGTCCAAAATTCTCAATAATCAAACTAATATCGACAAGTACAGTAAACTATATGATCAACTAGCATTGGACTTTCATTCTGCCTTCTACAATCCTCAAGTCAATGGCTATGCTGAAGGATATCAAACAGCCAATGTTTTAGCATTAAGACTACCTAATGTTGTCCCTACTAATCTTCGTACGTCAGTTATCAAAGCTCTAGTGGATAATATCGTCCAAAATGGTAATCATTCTACCACGGGTATTGTTGGTACAGCTGCTCTTTATCCAGTTTTAACGGATGCCGGTTATCACGACATAGCTGTTACGATAGCTACTCAAACGACGTACCCATCTTTTGGATATATGTTCAATAACAATGTACAAAATGCGACAACAAACTGGGAAACGTATCATGCTTTGATTGAAGGCCAAGGCGGCACAGACAGTCTCAATCATCATATGTTTAACAGCATCGGTGCTTGGTTTTATCGATATCTGGCTGGTATACAATTGGATGGGTTCAGCAACGATCTCATTATTCATCCTCGTCTCACCAGTGTTCTCTTCACTGTCGAAGCAGAAGTTCATACAGTAAACGGACCTATTCTTGTATCATGGGAACGAGACGTCAATAACAAGACAGTCAGCTATAATATCACAATACCACATTCACTTCATGCTATGGTGACATTTGAACCTATTGAATCGAGCATTCGATGTGTGTCGATTGAAGAAAGTGGGATACTAACTTGGCAACGATCTGCCTCGTTATTAGATACGAAAGTCAATGGTATTGTATGGATACGTCGTGATACAAAGATCAAAGGTGCAATGCTTGCACGTGTACAAAGTGGTTCCTATCAATGGAAAGTACGCTGGGACTAACTACAGTGCAAACCGTGACTTTCATGCATTTTTTTTCGCTTCTTTTTTCAGTTTCTCGTTACTTGTCACCCTCGATTTGACTCCAAATAATATAGAAATGTAAAAATACAAAAAAGTATAGTACAGAACGAAGGAAAGTAAAAATACACTGCACGTGTATACATATGACGACACAACGTTAATAAGACCATGAACTCAATGACGCAGCCGAAAAAAGTATTCTTTTACTCTTATCTTGATTTCTTTTCGATTCACTCAATGTATTCTACTATAAGTACATATCTTCTTCATTCATTTCTTTTACTTTCGAATTATTCATCGCTCGAATCAGATAGCGTTTGTTCGGGTTCTCATTGGTTCACATACCAGCTCCAATGTAATAATACTGTACTCGTTGACATACTCGTCGAAACATATATGTACGCACCCGTAGTAGTAACTGGCTAGTTTTGATTTGACGTAGATTTGAATCATCAACAGTAGATCTTTGATCCTATGTTTTTCTATCTATTCTCATCATCGTCCATTCTCTATTTTTAGATGTCTTTAACATTAGTTGAACGTACTTGGAGAGAGATACGCGATCGTATATTTCGACGATATCTCGGAAGATTGATCAAAAGATTATTTGGACTTTACATATCTTTGTTATTTGTATATATTCCATCGTTGGTTTATTATGCTGTAACATTAGGAAAACCAAATGAAACATATCAGAAGCAAAAACGACTTCGAGCAAAACAAGTCGATGAATCAGACCCGTCATCACCTTATCGTGCTATCGAATCGCTCGAAAAACTTCATGAACAGCCGGAGGAAGGAATCGAAACATTAGCTGACATTCCCTACGTCTGTCTTGAACGTTACGGAGACAAAGAAACGATGGGTGTTCGAGATATCACGAATATCGAAGAAGAAAAACAGCCAAATGGAAAAATATTCAAAAAAGTTTGTTGTTTTGTAAATACGAAATTCAATACGAATCAAATCTTTAGTTTGCATTCGGTGAATATCGATTTACAACTTATCGACAAGCATGTGCTCGTATCGATGCCATCGGCCGTGGTCTACTTGCATTAAACATCAAACCTGGTGATAAAATCTTGATCTTTTCCGAAACACGTCCTGAATGGCTGTTGACTGCATTTGCTGCTTTTCGACATAGTCTAACTGTAGTTACGCTCTTACCAACATTGGATGATGAAGGTGTTAAACACGGTATCAACGAATCGGGAATATCCACGATTATAACATCGCAGGATCTTCTATCCAAACTTCAAGTACGAAGAAAAGATTTTCTCAAAAGAAAGAATAGGAAGTCCTTGTTTTAGAAAATACTGAACGACACAGAAAAAGTTCGTCAGGTCATTTATTTTCCTGCACGTACTACCAGTGAACGTTCCAAAGCACCAAAGGAGGTGAAGAACATCGAGTTTATTTCCATCGAAAAACTCGAAGAACAAGGAAAAAACGCAACCATCGGTAGGATTTTATCAAGTTGGAACTTTTTTTTTGCACTTTATTGTTCGATTTAGATGAACAAACTTTGAGAAAACGACCAAAGAGAGAAGATATTGCCGTTATCATGTATACCAGTGGCAGCACTGGACCACCCAAAGGTAATTTAAACAATTAACGAAATTTCTATTGAAGATTGATTCTTTTCCTTTTCAAGGGGCATCCATTCGTCATGAAAATGTCATTGCTGCCATAACTGGTCAGAAAGAACGTGTTTTTCCCATAGTAAACATTGACGAGGACATTTTTATGGCTTATCTACCGTTGGGTCACATATTTGAACTTTGTTGTGGTTGGTTTCCTTTGTTGAAATGAACTAAGTCAAACAAATACTTCTGTATTCGTGTAGAGATCTTGGTATTCTATGCTGGTGTCAAATCTGGTTATGGATCTCCTCAAACTCTAACCGATCAATCGACCATGGTGCAAAAAGGTCAAAAAGGTGATCTACAAGCTCTTCGACCGTATATAATGAACTGTGTTCCTGTAAGTTCATTTGTATTAAACAATGAAGATTCGTCAACTTCTTTCGATTAGACAATTCTCGAACGTATTCAACAAACAGTCTATAGTAAAATCAAACAATCAAATTTTTTCCTACGACAATTCTTTAATCTTGCATATACAATCAAAGTAAAACGCTTAGAAGCAGGTCTACAAACTCCAATTCTTGACTAGTAAATTACCTAGTTACTATCTTGCAAAAAGAACTTGAGTCTTTTTAGTTTGATCTTCTCACGTTTCAATAAAATGGTACTTGGCGGACGTACAAAAGCAGTGCTATCCGGTGGTGCTATTCTATCTGATGAAACCCAACGCTTTGCTGAGTGTGTTCTATGCGTTCGTGTTTTTCAAGGTTACGGTCTAACAGAGACATGTGCAGGTGGATGTATCGCTGACGGTAAGCATCTTTTGACTGTTTATGGGGTAATTGATTAAAATTCCTTGCTTTCAGAATATGATGTTAGTGTTGGTCGTACGGGATATCCCATTGTCTCCAGTGAATTTCGGTTAATTGATTGGGAAGAAGGAAAATATCGAACGAGCGATAAGCCCAATCCACGAGGAGAAGTGCTTATTGGTGGAAAAGTCGTTGTCGATTCGTATTTTGGTGATGCGGCCAAGGAAAATGACAGTTTCAAGGAAATCGATGGAATGAAGTATTTCTTTACTGGTGATATTGGAGAAGTTTTTCCTGATGGAACATTGAAAATCATTGGTAAGTTGATTTGACTATTCGAACACGTTGTTTATTTTGAAATAACTTTGATTCAGATCGAAAGAAAGATGTGGTGAAATTACAAAACGGAGAATTTGTTTCGTTAGCAAAGATTGAAATGGCGGTCAAGAAATTATTACTTGTCGATAATTGTTGTGCATGTGCATCATCGTCAGCTGAGTATACGGTTGCTCTAGTTTGTCCAAATCCGAAAGAAATTGCGGTACGTTCAGTCGACATTTCTCGAAAATACTCGATGTTCTACTCTTTATTGTAGATTTATGCCGAAAAGCACTTCAATGAAAAAGATTGGAAGAAGATTGCCGATGATGAGGATTTCAACGACGAAATTCTGCGAAAAGTACAAGATATATGCCGAAAAGACGGATGTCAAAGTTTTGAGATACCGAAACGTATCAAAGTTGTCCAAGAAAATTGGTCACCTGAAAGCGGTTTGGTAAACGATGCGCTCAAGTTGAAACGAAAAGCAATTGGAGAAAAATATAAAGACGACATTAAACAAATGTATAGAGAGAAATCCGGTGAGAGAAAGAAATCGAGAAATGATGACAATAAGAAACAGGATTAGTCAGCAAGTTAGTTTGTATTTTATATATTTATTTTCGCGTTTAACATTTGTAAGTTTATTTTCTGAGATTAAAGATATAACACGTTGTTGTCAACTACATTTTACAGATATTATTGCAATTCTATACTGCATATGTTTTGTAGAGAATAGATGCGACTAATAACCGTGTGAATCTTGATACGATTATGTTCGTAGCATGTCCTCCTGCTACTGTTGTTGTTGTGGAAATTGTTGTCAATGTTGGTGAGCATTGACCTGTCTCAGAATGTGCGGATGCCACTGCAGCATTCATGTCCAAATAATAACCATTAGACATGACGTTTCGTATACATCCACTGAATGTATTGACTTGTGTGAAACTTGGATAGAGACCAGATACTAACGAGCCCGTAACCGGTAGGCCACCAAGAAAAAGTTGAACATTCGACAGATCGTAGCTATTCAATGTCTTGTTAAAGGTCGATAATACATATTGACAATCGTTAACTGTGACAAGAATCAATGAATCAATGTACTGAAAAAGAGAGAGAGAATGAAAAGTTGGAAACAATCTCGATGAAAATGAAAGAAGAACATACTTGAAATTCTACATGGTACCATGTTGATGCGTTGATGACTGTATTTGTTGCATCGAGTATTTGATCTCGGAAGCGAAGTCTCAATTTTGAATTAAAGATTTCAGCCGAAGTCCAGAAAAAGTCGCTGACGTCTGTTGTATTCTTTCCATATAATAGAATCAGTCCGTTGACGACAGGTGATCGCAAAGCAAAATCAAATGAAAAACGTGTTGGGGCTTGATTTGAGAAATACATTCCATCGAAAACAGCGTATCCACCACCGTTTTCACGGAATGTTCTTCCCAGCACTTGACAGTAAGGACCAAGTGGAGCGTAAGCTTGTAACGACGTGCAAGGGCAATAAGTGAAATTATTGAACGAATATGTCGTACAGCCAGATTGAGTATTAACGAAATTAGGCGAATAAGTATTATTGACACAATCAGCTGAATCTACAACATTGATGCCAACGAAAGATGTTTGATTTGAATCAATAACGTAAGGTAATGGTTGAATGGTTCGTGTTGGACGACAGATTGTACCAGATGGACAAACATAATTCGAACATGGATTTGGTCCACTAGCACTCACTATGATGCCATAGAGTGAGGCAAATCGAGCAATGTTGGTATTGATCGAGTTTTCAATATCACTCTTGGCTAGCGATGGTATGTAGAAAACAATATCGGTTAACGCTTGTTGTTTGGCTTGATCGAATGGTAAAGGTGGATAGTATGGACTACGACATTGAAAAACGGGCCGAATAGCAAGAATTGTGATAGAATCAGCAGTAACAAGTAATATGGATGCCAAAGCATTGCGAAGAACGTTGAGACGATTACCGAGTGTCGGATCGATTAATGTTTCAGGATATTCACCTTGAATACGAATCGTAGCTGCTTGTCGAACCCATTCTGAGTCGACACTTTGCACTCCAACTTCCACTGTACCAACAGCTGATGATGGCACATTTGATTTGGTGACATCAACAAGAACTGTCGCTGATCCTGGATAGAGTGAACTCGACGTGCTTAGATAACCTTGGTTAACTGTGAATGTTTGTCCATTACTAGCAGATCTGACCGAATATGATCGGCTAGCTATATACCAATCATCTAGATCATTGACATAAACGGAACCAAGGGGAACGTTGAGTAATGAATTTATATAACCATTAACATAGATGACAGTCACGGTTTTATAACCATTTGAGATGGGATAATTATTTAAAACATCACCAACAATAATTGGAATGCTTGATATCGCTGAGAAGCCTTTTTTATCATTAGCATTGAATGTTACAGTGAGATTCTTCGTGACAGTGCGATTCAAGACACCATTGTATGTCAATCGATACGTACCGTTGTAACTCAATGTAGGACCAGATAAGGAAAATGTTGATGGAGAGACAATCTGTACTTGAAAAGGTACGGTATTATTCTGTGCTGGATCATCGTAATCAGTAAATATCACGGTCGTACTTGGATTCGTCACGCCTTCTGTCAATATCCATGATGGATTCTAAGTGA